CTGCTCCCTTGAGGCTTGTGCGTCACAGTGCCCTTCAAAGACAACGAACTAGAAGTGTCCACGTCAAAGCTCAGACCTTTTATTTCTCTTAAATTATGTTTCATTAAAGATCATAATCTTTAGCTGTTTGCTCTGAAAAGGTTTGTAACATCAATGGTTCCTTAAAACGTGACGACAGACTGCCACTGTGAAGACATGAAAATCAGGAGCAAGTCAAAGAAGCATCATTTCATATCTACTTGCGTAGGAGTTCAAGAGATAAAGAGAGATGTATGTTTAAAATGTTTAACCTCCCAAGGAATTCACTAGATTTTAAAGGAAAAAGCTCAGAACCTTTCTTTTTCCAATATGCTACACTTCTCCCAAAACACTACACATCTCCGAAAACACTTCACCTCTCCTAAACACTTTCTCTCAAAATTTGAAAATGAAGGCTACGCAAGAGTCCTAGAGCCACGAACATGAGCATACTAAATCTAGAAACTTCATTAAAATGGGTTTCAATACTTCTTTTCACTCATGGGCTTTCCTTAGCTTGCAACAAGCCCGACTCATCGCCTAATGATTCTCTACTTCATTAATTCATTCTTTGGTTCCACTTCTTCACCAGTCCAACTTAGAATGAAGTGAACCTTGTCTTAATTTACTTCACTCGAGAATTCCAAGCCCGACACATTTCTTCCCCTGCTGGTTTAGACTTTCTTTTCCGGAAAGTTAGGGTCTAGACTATAGGATTTACTCAAAAAAAAAAGGAAAGAATAAGCCTTAATTTTGATTCGTGGGATGTGATAATTTGATTAGATCCTTAGTCATTTTTTCTTGCTAAGCTATGGAATAAAGACTGAATAATAAATTTGTTCATTTTGTTATGAGAGTGATGAGATTCATTTTACTTCTATTCCATTGGCCTAGGACTTTGTTTCCAATCTTTTTTTAAAATGATCATTTTTAAGGGAATTTTTTTCTTAATTTAATGTTTGGTGAGTGTTGGTATCATTTTTATGATGTACTGGTTTATACAGATCTGAACCAAATGTAGGTAAGACAAAAGTGCGATAGTCCATGAATTTAAAAATTTTATAAAAATTTTTTTTGGATACCAAATAATAGTTTTTTTTATATAGAAACTAAATTTTTTTAAAAAAAAACATTTAAATAAGGGTCTAAACAATAATTTATTTTTATGTAAATAAAACTTAAAATATAATATTTTTATAATTAACTTTATTTAGGACTTTCAAAATTATTGGCCGAGACTGGCTTTATAATTGTTCTTATAATCGCTAATGTATTTGGTTTATTGTAGATATTGCTGTGTTAGAAGACAAAATTTATGCTTTTACTTCAGCTGTGAAGATTCTTGCTAGCTTTCAGTATAGCATGTGGATTAGTCGTAAATAAAAAGAGTAAATTCTTATCATTTTGCGTAATTGATTCAGAGATGCTATAGAGATTATGAGTTGTACATCGACCTTCGACAGTCTAAATTTATGCTCTGATACTGAAAGTTGGTTGAGGTTTCGAAAAGCTTAGAACCTTTACTCGATATCAAGAAAGCCGTCATCAAGCTGGAAATATATATATGGTAGAAGATGATTTGGAAAACTTACAGACATTCTGAGAATTAATTCGGAAGTGAGAGGTAGCTGTAACCACATCTCCGCCGCAGTCTTAGATCTGGTAACAAGCGCTTGAATGGATGGTGAGAGGGTGCCAAGGAGGGAGCTGTAGATCAGTCTGTCGTGTCTCTTCCACTTGGTGTAGGCAGGATTTGGAGATGTTTGGTCATTCACAATGACCGTTTTGGATGGCGGCTGTTTAGATCCGTCGACATGGCCGGCGAGATCATATCCATCAAATAGAGCATGTACTTGGATGCTCCAGGTCAGGTAATTGGTGGAGGTGAGTTTTGTTATGTTTGACATGTTGGTGAGGTTGTGTGGCATCAACATTCAAGAAGTTCAGCAGCCATGGTAGTGTTAAGGTTTAGAAGAGACAAAGAAAAAAAAGATGAATGGAGAAGAGAGGAGAGGATCGGATATTTTTAGGGTATTTTCTTACGGCTCTGTTACCATGTAGAAGGTTATTATATATAGACAAAGATTACAAACATATATTACAAAGTAGGGTACCAAGACTCTAGAGATTTTTTTTTTTTTTTTGGTAAAAGCCAAGACTCTAGAGATATTAAGGATTCCATAATTAAACTACATACCATAGGAGAATATTGAGCAATAAATGTGTTTCCTTGTTATATCCTTGACAGTAGCAAGGTTTTTGAAATTACGGATAATTAAAGTCTTCTCGGCAGCAATGGTTGATTGCCTAGCAGAATTGCTTCGAAAAATGTATGCATAAGCCCCAATAAAAAATTCTAATTTGATTTATGTATATCTCTCTCTGTATAAAAGCTTCAATTGCCATTTTGACATCTTTTCTATTTAGGCTGGTGCGTTAATGATTGTTCGCATGTTGGCAAACACAGCCATGCTAAATAGTAATATTATCAAACGTTTCATGAGGTGCATCATAGACATTATGCATGAACATGCCAAAGGAACCTCTGATCCTCCGCTTCGATTGTCATCTATGGCATTGATCAATTTTGTCCTGCAGGTACAAGAATTTTATGTATTCATGAACCTCTTGCAGTCGTATATTCAGAATTTCCTACTGCTTATATATTGAGAATTCTAATCACAAAATGAGATGAGCTAAGTGGTCATGAGCTAAGTCTGGTCTAAAAGTGGTCATGAGCTAAGTCTGTCTAACTTGATTCTGGTTTCTCATTTCTGTAATAGTGTAAGTAGTATGATATAAAAGAAAGAAATTTTCTCTTTCTATGTTTTCAATAATTGTGGTGGTGTGCTACTGTGCTATTAGGAGGGTTGTGGTGCAGCCGAGTTAGCCACAGAGAAATACTGGTTAGATATTCATTGTGTGTACATCATTTAAGAAAAGACATGCTTACAAAAAGTAAAACACCAACGAAAAGAACAAGGAGATCAAAATTAATTAATAACTCAATTAATTAATAACAACACATAAGTCGATGTTTGGCAATGTGATCATACCAATAATTGAGATTAAAAGAACGATACGTACCGTTCCTGTGTCAAAATTATTTCGAGATTCATGGCCGAAGAAAGAGATCTCATAAACTTGTCATCAGGGTTACAAAAAAAGTTGATACCTGCTTCATCAAAGCGAGGGTTGTTTTCAATCGAGCATGAATTTCCAGAGTTATCTGAGATGAACATTTTCTTTACATTCGGGGTATCTATAACCAAAGATCCCTCTAAAATGTGTGCCGGCAAATAATTGTACCATAAGGTCTTTAGAGAAGGCACTTTAATACTAAAGTTTCTCACGTTGTCTTGGTCAAGTCGGTCCACATACAGTAGCTTGAGAATAGGACAATTCGATAAAAGCCTAGCAAGAGAGTCATCATCTTTGAATACCACACGGAAAAGATAAAGATATTTGAGGGACGGGAAGCAAACCAGAGAAGGAACATCAACAAAAATCTTGTCGGAAAGACTCATATACACAAGCGTATTGCATATATAGAGGCTTGTGGGCAAGCTAGTAGGCTCTGCGGACCACTTGAGCTCTAACTCTAGCACGCGAACCTTACGATCAACTGCATTAGCAATGCACTTTCCGACATCAACTTCAACAGGACATTGTCGACTGAGTTCTATAATTAATACTTCTAATACATGTGCCTTATGGAGTTGTAATGAACTGTCAAGAAACGGCCATATAGACTGCGACCGTGACCGCTCAAATAAACGGCCAACTAAACCCCGAAGAAAACTTTGGTGAGTACTAGTGTTGATCTCGCTGTACTCGAGTTTTGGCACCATCGTCCAGATAAACTGCCATCGTTTGGACAAGAACATGGTAGCCACTGCATCTTTTGTTGGGAGGAACGATAATATCCGCAAGAGCAGATCGTCGGACAACGTACTGATTCTATCTTCACCTTCGATTCTCCTACATGACTTCACGAATTGTCTGGTACTGTATGAGTATGTGTGAAGATATGGGCTTTGGATCAATATTATTCACTTGGACCAGAAATTTGAGATAAAGCCATAAAGCCCAATCTATTGTTAAGTTTACAAGACGTCATTCCATTACAAGATCGGCTACGGTTTTTTCTTTGTTATAAGAAGCCGTGAGTTTGAAGCCAAACCCTAACACAAGAGGAGTCAAAGAGCCGTGAATACAAAGCTAAGATACAGAGGGAGAGAGAGCAATTGAGAGAAGAGAGAAGAGGGAATCCAAGAGAGCACCAAAAGAAGTTTGAGTCTTCTTTGTGTTGTGATTCAAATCTTCTCTTCTATTGTTCTAATCTGTGACTTGTACTTGAACACAAAGAGAGCGTCGGTTAGTGCGTTTGTGTAATCTTTGATTGATAGTGAAAGTTGTGGGAGACGGTTCCCACCCCAGACGTAGCGGTTCGAGGCCGTGAACTGGGTGACCAAACTTTTGTGTTATTTAAGTTTCTAATCATCTAATAGATCCTAAGATCTAAGCACTCAGGAGAAGTTAAAAAACCTTACAAGTGGTATCAGAGCATCCAGGTTTGGTTGTGAGTGCTTAAGGATTAGATTAGAAACTCAATGATGACGACACAAAAGATGGAGGTGAGCATGTTCGACGGATCAGGTGATTTTGTGATCTGGAAGAAAAGGATGCTCGCGTACTTAACCGTTCAAGGTTTGAAAGATGTTCTTACGGAACCGACATCCAAAGACGTGGATGAAAAAGATCCAGAGGCAATAAAGAAAAAGAGCAAAGATGAAGCTTCCAGACTGGAGCGAGATGAAAAGGCTTTGAATCTTATTTTCATGTGTGTTGGAGATCATGTCTTAAGGAAACTAGACAAGTGCGTAACTGCAGCTCAAGCGTGGGCTACTCTTGAGAGGCTTTACATGGCAAAGACTTTGCCTAATCGGGTCCATTCTCAGCTTAAGGTGTATTCTTTTAAAATGCAGGATTCAAGATCAATTGATCAGAATGTAGATGACTTCTTGAAGCTGATTGCAGATTTGAGCAACCTCAACATTGAGATACCAGAAGAAGTTCAAGCAATACTGCTACTCAACTCTCTTCCCCCTAGATATGATTCTTTAAAAGATACTCTTAAGTATAGTAGGGAAGCTATTGAGTTGGAGGAAGTAGCTAGTGCTGCAAAATCTAAGGAGAGAGAGCTGGCTGAAAATGAAAAGCTTTCAAGATCAGATGGAGAAGGGTTATATGTTGAGGCTAGAGGCAGATCAGAAAAGAGGTCAGAGAATGGAAGAGGAAGGTCTAAGAGTAGAGGAAAGAAAAACAACAAAGGTTGCTTTGTTTGTGGAGATGAAGGACATTGGAAACGGGATTGTCCTCATAGAAAGAAACCTGCAGACTCTGCAAATGTTGCAACAGATTCAAAAGAACCAATGGTGTTAAGTGTCAGTTCGCAAGATACTAAAAAAGAATGGATTATGGACTCGGGATGTTCATACCATAGTACATCAGACAAAGAAGTCTTATTTGACTTCAAGGAGTTTGATGGTGGTAAAGTTCTGATGGCTAATAACACTCATTGTGACATCAAAGGAATGGGAAGGATTCAAATTCAGAACCCAGATGGTTCTGTAGTGATACTCAAGGATGTGAAATACATACCAGAGGTGAGTAGGAATCTTATTTCTTATGGGATGTTAGAAAAATTAGGTTGCAGGTATGAAGGAGGTAACTTCAAGGTTCAGTTCTACAAAGGCAAGAAGAAGGTAATATCTGGAAAATACCAAGGTGGTTTGTATTATCTTCAAGGCACAGTTTCTAAAGTTGACGTGAACATGCCAAAAGCTGAGGTAGAAGTGAAAAAGAAGAAGTTAAAGAAGGTGACATTCAGTGAGAATCTGATTCAAGGACCTACTCCATATCGTTTTGAAACAAGAGATTTATTAGATGAAGGTGGAGACTCTTCTTCATCAGAAGAATCTAAAAAGGTGGCTGAAATTAAGTCTAAGAAAGTTTCAAGGGATTTGCAAGAAATCAGAAGCTTTAATGAAAATCTGAGCATGGAGTTTAAGGAGAATGGCGTGGGAAAGGTTTCAGAGATTTTGGAAATAGGTACCTTCGGAGGTAAAGCTAAAGGAGATTTAGTTTTACCTACAGTTCACACAAGTAAAAGTCCAGCAGAGTTTGTAAGTGAAGCAGTACCTGAACAGAAAGCTCAGGTGTGCTGCGATCCTCTCAACATAGTCTAAGGTTGGTACAGCTCCAGGTAACTCCATATTATTGGCATGGTACTCTCGCAGGAAGAACACAGAAACGGTCGGTTTTGGAAATGTTCTTATGTCGATAATTAATGGATTAGAGGAGTTACCTGTAGTCATCTGAAATCATGGTGAGGAGACTTTTGATACCAGGTGGAGCTGTTGGGAGATTCAAGGGAAGACAAGTTAGCTGTGTTTTTCATGAATCTGGGAAGCAAGTCGAGAGTACAAGATTCAGGTTAAGGGACTTACCTGAGGTCATCTAAGTAGCTGAAGAACATGGGCTGTTCATCCGAAGGAGCTGCAAAGAAGATGAAATTGAAACTGATTAGTTTCAGGTGGAATAGCTGGAAGTGATTCATGAAGAGGTTGATTCAAAGCTCAGTGCACATGAGATGAATCAACAGGTCGACAAAGATGAATCAAGTTTTCTGGAGAAGCTACAAAGTATGAAATTAGAAGATTTCATAGTGTCTCAGAAATATCAGTTGATACAGAGACAAGCAAAGATAGATGGTTCAGGTCAAGAGGGTTACCTGGAATCATCGGAACAATGAACAAGATGAAGTGGTTTAGTTGCTACGAGGTTGTTCATCAGTGAAGCTGCGTAATGAACCGGTCGAAATTTTTCCAGAATTTCGTGAATTGGGAATCTCAGAAAGGGTCAATTTCAAATCATCACAGAGAGGAGATGAAGAGGAAATTGAGAATACCTGAGATTACAGAAGATTATTGCGACAGAAGAATTGCAGGAGATGCATTTTTTGGGTCTCAGAAAAATTTGCATTTGAAAATCACTATCGGGAAGAAATCAAAGGAATTTAGGGCTCGGCGTCCTCAGTGGGAAGGAAGAAAGCATCGGCGGCCACTAGAAGGTACCTTGACGGAGATAAAGAACTCGCCGGAGTTGCAGATCGCGTTTTGCATTCAGTGAAGGAGAAACTTCGATCTCGTCATCGGGAAAACGGAAAGGCCGCAGAGAATTTGCAAGCGTGAGGGCGGTTCAGAGACGACATAGGAGAATGGTGAAGATGGCTTAACGGTGATCGGAGATTACAGCCAATGTCGGGAAAGCAAGTTTTTTCTTTTGTCGTCAAAAGGGATCGTGAAAGGAAGGTGATGGAGTGATGGACTTAAGCAAACCAAAGCCCAAGGTGGAGATTGTGAAGATATGGGCTTTGGATCAATATTATTCACTTGGACCAGAAATTTGAGATAAAGCCATAAAGCCCAATCTATTGTTAAGTTTACAAGACGTCATTCCATTACAAGATCGGCTACGGTTTTTTTTTTTGTTATAAGAAGCCGTGAGTTTGAAGCCAAACCCTAACACAAGAGGAGTCAAAGAGCCGTGAGTACAAAGCTAAGATACAGAGGGAGAGAGAGCAATTGAGAGAAGAGAGAAGAGGGAATCCAAGAGAGCACCAAAAGAAGTTTGAGTCTTCTTTGTGTTGTGATTCAAATCTTCTCTTCTATTGTTCTAATCTGTGACTTGTACTTGAACACAAAGAGAGCGTCGGTTAGTGCGTTTGTGTAATCTTTGATTGATAGCGAAAGTTGTGGGAGACGGTTTCCACCCCAGACGTAGCGGTTCGAGGCCGTGAACTGGGTGACCAAACTTTTGTGTTATTTAAGTTTTTAATCATCTAATAGATCCTAAGATCTAAGCACTCAGGAGAAGTTAGAAAACCTTACAGTATGCCACATAGATTAAGCCGAATATAAGCAGAAGCCGTCCAAACATTTTTCCTCAATGGAACTATACGCCAAAACTTTAGGGTTTTAATTCCGCGGACGTGTTAGCTAAGAAAGGGTTGCAATAAAAAAATTCTGTTTTCTTACTTCTACACCTTGTTTTTTCTTTGTCGGCTAACTAAATTGCTATATCGTCACCCTAAACAATAAATTTATCGAGTAAATAGTTTATATGTTTATTTAATTTAACAAACTAGTGTAAATTGAAACTATGAATTCCAAAATTTAACAATAAAAACTAACCCATAAATCTAAAAATTACAAACCTAAACTATAAGATTTCAAAAATTCGAAATGTGAAATCCGATTTAGTCCGAAAATAAGATATTTAGAATTTTTGGTCCAGATATGTTGATTTAATTTGGGAAATTTGGATCTAAATTTCTTTAAATGTATATAGAAAATACATAGTTTTATATAATAATTTATAAATTATCTGAAATCATCACCAAATATAGAATTTATTAAATATATATTGTTGAATGCCCATAGTAAATAGGCTCTAAATGCTTATAAAAACCATTTTGTAAATTTTATATGACATTTTTTTAGTTTTGTTTTGTGGTATTTAGATTGTATATAATTTAATGGTATTAATTTAATTATTTTTAGCTAAGCTAATTTTTGTGAATTTTATATGGATATTAATTGTGGAACAGATCTAGATATCCACAAATATTAGCGAATTCAAATCTAACTATATTCATAAATTTTTCAAAATGCCATAAAAGTTTATCGTTAATCTAAATCCAAACCCAAAGTTTATCGTTTATCCACAAAGTGTTTTCTTGCTAATTAGCTATATATATATATATATATATATATATATTCATAACTTTGCCCGTACGGTTTATTTATTATTATTATTTATTGTTTCTTGCAGATGAGAAATAAAAATACAACCGAAGAGTTTTTGAGGAGAAGAAAAGAAAAAAGAGATGCAAAATCGGCCACCGTCATCGTCGCCGCCGTTACAATCGCCACCGTCTCCGAAGCTGCAATCGACTTGATATGATGCAAGGCTTCCACCATCAGCAGCAACAGCAGCTGATTTCGCTGCTCTCCGCGGCTTTACCAACTGACCCCTCCGCCGCTTCTCCTCTTCCGTCGTCTTCTTCATCGGAACCCGTCGCTCCTCCATCAACGGCGGCTGCTAGTATCAATGCTTCAGCTCCGTTTAGAACCAAAAAGACCAAAAAGACCAAAAAATCCGTTCCGGTGGGACAAAGGGATTGTAAATCGGAGAAGAACATCGATTCGGGTCGTCTAGCTGCTTTGAAGTCTCTACACAGAGCAATTACTTACCTCCCGAACTCGCTCCTTATCGCACATTCAGCTTCTTATCTTTCTTCTGGTCTCTGGCAGCTTCTCTCTGACAAGTAATTATACTTTATTGATGCTGTTTTTAAGAGTTTGACTTAGATATAATCCATTAACTGTTTTCTTTGTCCGTATTAAAGTCTGAAGCTTTTTGAATCTCTGTGTGTAGGTCTTATGATATGAGACAGGCTGGTGTGTCTGCATATGGAGCTCTCTGTGCTGTTGTATGTTCTATTCCTGTGGAATCCAGTGGAATACAAAACCTTATGATGCTGGTTGATAGCTTCATTGATTGGGCTTTGCCGTTGATTCGAGATGTTAGTGTTCAAGATGGGAGCACGGTTCTTGCAGTTGAAGGTGTCAGGGAGTTTCTTTCAGTTGGGGATGTTAATGTGATAGGTAGGTATGCTTTGCCGATCCTCGACGCATGCAAATCACTTCTTGAAGATGAGAGAACTTCCATCCCTTTGTTGAATCAGGCTTTGGGCGTTCTTTTGGTGATCTCTTCAAAGTTTTATAGTTTGTTTCAGCCTCATTTTCTTGATATTGTTGATGTGTTGCTTGGTTGGGCATTATTACAAGACCAAGCTGACTCTGACAGGCAGATTGTCATGGATAGCTTCTTGCAGTTTCAGAAACATTGGGTAGATAATTTAGAATTCTCAGTTGGGTTGTTGTCGAGGTTTCTGGGTGACATGGATGTATTGCTTAGTGATGGTAGTCAGGGAACCCCGGAACAGTTTCACAGGTTGCTTGCTTTGCTTTCCTGTTTCTTAGCAATTTTGCGGTCCACTGCTTCTGGATTACTAGAGAACAATCTGCTAGATAAGATGGATGAACCTCTGAGCGAAATGATTCCTCGGCTATTGGGTTTCCTATCTACCATGGGGCAGAGATTTGGATGGGCGAAATGGATCGAAGATCTATGGAAGTGCTTGACTCTTTTGGCAGAAATATTGCGCGATAAGTTTTCGACGTACTATCCTCCTTCTCTTGAAATGTTATTCAAGAGCTTAGAACAGATTGATACTGTGAATTCTGCAGTTCATGGGAAGTTGACAACTTCTCAGATCCATGGGACCTTGAAAACTAATCTTCAGTTACTGTCTCTGCAAAAGCGAGGCATCCTCTCATCATATGTGCCAAAGTTGCTCAGCTTTGAATCTCCAATATCCCGGTTGCGATTGCACTCAAATCGTTTAGTTACAGCATGTTCTTCTGACACATACATATTCTTGCTTCAACATGAGAGTGAAGAGCTTGTTCAGCAAGTGATGGAATTATTGTTGAAAGAGCTTGAGTTGTTGAAGACTGTACTTGTGGACCCATCGGACCTCCAAAACAAGACTTTCGATGTTACAGTCTATGAATCCTTCTCAAAAAATGAACTTTTGGCAATGATTAACTTTGACATGAAGGTTCTTCTTTCCAGTGTTTCTCTTGGAGGGAGAAAAAGTTTGAGTGACGTACCTAAACTCGCTGCCTTGTATCTTAAGAGGTCAGAGAAGTTGGTTTCCTTTGTTTTTGAAAAGCTGAATCCTTTTGAGTCATATATTGATACCTGTTCCGAGTTGCAAGTCAGCATTGTGAGGATGTTAGAGTGTTTAGCTGCAGTTGAGCTCCTTAGCAACTGTTCCGTGCTAATTCAGCCTGAAAACAAGGCTCTCAAAGAATTGAATCATGGGAAGACACCATTCAAGTGTACATTTTTTACCATGGTAATTGAGCATCTAAAGAAATATAGCGTAACAATGGTTAGAGCTCTTCGTTTATCATCCCCTGTTGGTGTGAAGCTAGGGTCGCTTGAATGGATTCAAAAGTTCTGTGAGAACCTGATTGCAATATCGAAGAATTTTAATATAGATGCTTACTTCTATAAATCATTTCCATTTGCTGGTGCAGTTAGAGATATAATTATGGCGGTTTTAGATGCTGCATTTGATAGTGAACCGAAAGTGAGGAGTCGGTCTGCAATGGTTTTAGAGCTGCTTCTGGAGGTAAAGCTGATAAACCCAATTCATTTTTATTCTCTGGCTGAAATCCTCCTTGAAAAGCTTGGAGATCCAGATACGAGTATAAAGAATGCATTCATTAAGTTGCTTTCCCATCTCTTACCAGCTACCCAGTATGCTTGTGGCATGCACAGTGAGGTAGAACATAGGGCTCTAAGGCCCCAAGTTCTTATGCTAGGAAACGGTTACTTGCACTGGAAGCAAGTCTTTGCACTGAAGCAACCGGACCATCATTTTCAGTCGCAGCAACTTGTTTCTGTCTTGAATTATGTCTCCCAGAGATGGAAAGTTCCTTTTACTTCTTGGATCCAAGGGCTCATTAATGCTTTTCAAGGATCAAAGGATACCGGTGCTAAGCAGCCTGATGAAAACTTGATTAAGAATGGATGGTTGGCTATAAAAGCTGAGAAAAGCTCGATCGAGAGAATCTGCTTGGCAAATAACCTGGCAGGGGCTTGGTGGGCTGTGCATGAAGCTGCTAGGTTTTGTGTTAGCACACGCCTCCGTACCAACTTTGGTGGTCCTACTCAAACTTTTGCAGTCCTAGAGCGAATGCTTTTAGACATCACAACTGTGCTACAGGTTGATAGCGAGCAAACTAATGTTGGCTCTTCTGGTGCCCATCTGTTACCAATGAGGTTACTATTGGATTTTGTGGAGGCATTGAAAAAAAACGTGTACAATGCGTATGAGGGGACTGCTGTTTTATCCTCATCGCTTCCACAAAGTGTCCTGTTTTTCCGAGCTAACCGGAAAGTTTGCGAAGAATGGTTTTCTCGTATATCCGAACCAATGATGAATGCTGGTATATCGCTCCAGTCTCACGATGCTACGGTTGAGTATTGCACATTGCGGCTTGAAGAGCTAAGAAGTCGTGCAACATTAGTGAAGAAAGAAAAGTCTAAAATGCAGGATTTTGACAATGTTAACAGTGCTGGAGCTCATATATATTCAGACATCTCAAGGATTTTACGACATATGGCATTGGCTTTGTGTCAGAATCATGATGCATATGCTCTGCTTGGCGTTCACAAATGGGTATCAATAAATTTTGCTCCTTTGGTCGCAGAAGAAAGCAACCTGCAGAAGCTCAGTGGTGATTTGGCGCTGTTTCCATGGATCACAGGGTTGATTTATCAGTCAGAAGGACGATATGAGAAAGCAGCTGCGCATTTTGCTCATTTATTAGAGGAAGAGGACTCTCTCAGCACTATGGGTTCTGATGACATTCAATTTGTGATTGAACGGATAATTGAGAGTTATACTGCTTTATCTGATTGGAAATCTCTAGATTCCTGGCTTTCAGAGCTGCAGGCGCTTCGTGCTAGGCATGCAGGCAAAAGCTTTTCAGGTTCTTTGACTGCTGCTGGAAATGAAATAAATGCAATACGGGCCTTGGCGCGTTTCGATGAAGGTAATATTCAGGCAGCATGGGCATGTCTTGATTTAACGCCTAAAACTAGTGTTGAACTGTCACTTAATCCAAAGGTGGCCTTGCAAAGAAGTGAACAGATGCTTCTGCAGGCAATGCTTCTTCAAGCTGAAGGAAATGCCCAAAGGGTTCCACCTACCTTACAGAAGGCCCGATCAATGCTAGATGAAACTTCACTGGCTCTGTCATTTGATGGATTATCTGAAACAGCACCATATGCCACACAGTTGCATTGCCTCTTTGCTTTTGAAGAGAGTCATCAGCTGAGAGACAGTGAACCTAAACAGAAACACAGTAATTTGATGTTAAGCTCCTGCGTATGGTCAATGCAGTCTATGATCAATAGAATCCATCGTGACTGTAGCCCTTGGTTAAAAGTTCTACGAATTTATCGGACAATTTTGCCGACAAGCTGGGTTACTCTGAAGCTTTGCATGGACTTGCTTGGGTTTGCCCGCAAGCAAGGAAATTTCTTGCTTGCAAATCATCTTAAAGAGTATCTGAATGATCATGTATCCAGTTGTGATGAGGTTAAGTTGCAGGACTTTCTTATATCAAATTTGCAGTACCAGGGAGCCTTGATGATGTATGCAGAAAATAAAGTTCAAGATGCGGTTGTGGATCTTTGGTCTTTTGTACAGCCAGAGGTAACTGCGTTAGAGCCAGTATGTTTGGATGCTGGTGTGGCCTTTTTAAAGGCAAAAGCATGCTTAAAACTTGCAACTTGGCTCAAAGGGGATGTTATTTCCCTGGATTTGGAAAATGTCGTCCTGAAGATGTCGACAAATTTTAACAGAACTGAGATTCCTTCATCTGTAAGCAGGGAGCCTCTCTTATACGAGAGCTCAAAACCAAGCATAAAGGCTATTAGTGAGGAGATGATTGGCACGGTTACAAAAGTGTCTACCCAGCTTTGTTCTGCAATGGGAAAATCATGGATTTCATATGCTTCATGGTGTTTTCGTCAGGCAACAGAGTCTTCTTGCAAACCTAATGACTCCACCCTCCACTCATTCTCCTTTTCAAGCATTCTTGCTCAAGAGATCCAACCTGGAAGGTTTCACTTGACTGAAGATGAGACCCAATCCGTGGAGTCTATTGTTAAGGAGCTTCTTCAGAAGGATGATATCAAGGATCTCACCGACACTGGGCAAGATGGAAACTACCATACAACTACTGCAGACCATTCCGACGAAAGAAAGAAAGCATTGCAGCAGCAACTGATTGAAACGATAGAAAATGCCGCTGCAGCTCCTGGTGCAGAAAATTGTGACTGGGATAGTCTCTCTGTTCATCTAGCTTCTCAATTAACTGATTTACTGCTGTGCGCAAAGCAAAATGTGGAAGATACTGATATAGCACCAATAGTTAAAAAGCTGATTGAAGTCTGGTGGTCACTGAGAAAAAGAAGGGTATCTCTCTTTGGGCATGCCGCACTTGGTTTCACACAGTACCTTCGTTATTCATCCAAAAATCTGCACACTAGTGAGTTTACAGGTGTAGACTATGATCCACTGAACAAAAAATCAGGTAGCCATACGTTAAGATCAACACTGTATATTTTGCACATCCTTCTGAACTACGGAGTGGAGTTAAAAGATACACTGGGACATGCTCTTTCGATGGTTCCCTTGGAGCCTTGGCAGGTGAGAAGCTCTCTCTTGTTTTTCTGTTTTTGGGATCAAATTGAACTTCTAATGTTTCTGATAACAATTTTGCGTAGGAAGTAACACCTCAGCTTTTTGCTCGGTTGAGCTCTCACCCTGAGGAGGTAGTGCGGAAAGAAATTAAAGGCTTACTGATAATGCTGGCGAAGTTGTGTCCCTGGTCCATAGTGTATCCAACACTTGTTGACGTGAATGCTTGTGACGAGAAGCCTTCTGAAGAGTTGTTGCACGTAAAAGCATATCTGGTAATATTTATTTCCCTAACTTTATTCTGTGTAAATTGGTCCTACTTTTCAATCTGAACGCTGCCTAAATCTAGGCACTTGTCACGCGTAAATTGCAAGCTAAACCAACCATAATTTGTATGCGTCAAATTTCCTGACCGCCCCACATGTCAGATTTGGTGATTGTCTTCTTCTATGGAGATTTTTCAGTACCTAAATAATTGTTTTTATAAGTATTCTCTAAGGAGACTGTCACAAACTGTCTAATTTTTTGTTCAGTCTGAGACTTGTTTCGTAAGATTGCATTAAAATGATATGTGCTTTGTGATGTTCCTATGCAGACTGAACTATATCCAAGATTAATCCAGGATGTGCAGCTTATGCTTAATGAGCTTGGGAATGTGACTGTCCTTTGGGAGGAGTTGTGGCTCAGCACACTGCAAGATCTCCACATGGGTAACTTTAAATTTCTAGCTTATGATTTTTACCTAGATCAATAGAAGCTACTCACTGTTGGTTACACTTTATCATTTGATGGAGCCTCGGTATTTTAGTGATATTCGATATGCAATCTAATAGTTGACTTCATCACGTGCAACATATGTCCATTATATCTAGAATAGGCGGAATATATTAGATCATGACTGTAGTGCCAACTCAGCAACCTACAATGAGTCGGATAGTGTCAGTGGTACAATAGAGGAAGCAACATAATGTGTAGTTTCATTCTGGTAATTAGTGACGTTTTGGGTTGGAGTTGGGAAATTCTGATGTTGTAATTTAGTTCAGTTGAAGATAGAGGAGGGTTTTATCTCAATCATTCCAAGCAACCTTAACAAATTTATGAATCCCCCTTTAAAAGAAAGATTTTTTTTTTTTTCGGTGAACTTAATATTTTGTTAGAGATTTTTCTTGGGTTATAACTTTAAAAAGTAATTTGAACCTTAACTGATGATGTGTTTCATTCAATTACCTATGTTGTTTCGAGATCACTTTTTTAAAAAAGCTGAGGAAAGTAGATTTGATTTTAATTTCTTTTCCAGATGTAATAAGGCGGATAAACCTGCTGAAAGAAGAGGCTGCTCGTGTTTCTGAAAATGTTACTCTAAGCCAGAGTGAGAAGGACGAGATAAATGCTGCCAGATATTCTGCCATGATGGCCCCTATTGTTGTTGCATTAGAACGTCGCTTAGCGTCAACCTCTAGGAAGCCTGAAACACCTCATGAGGATTGGTTCCATGAGGAGTACATAGAACGTATAAAATCAGCAATCTTGACATTTAAAACCCCTCCCTTGCCTGATGCTCTGGGGGAAGTGTGGCGTCCACTTGATAGTATCGCTGCGTCTTTGGCTTCTCATCAAAAAAAGTCATCAGTATCTTTAAAGGAAGTTGCTCCTAGTTTGTCTTTGTTATCATCCTGTAACATTCCAATGCCTGGTCTGGAGAAGCAGCCCACCTTATCTGAATCTGACACTTCACTTCACGGAATAGTCACAATTTCTTCTCTTTCAGATCATGTGAACATCCTTCCAACTAAGACACGACCTAAAAAGCTTGTCATGTTTGGCTCTGATGGAAAGAAATATATTTATCTGTTAAAAGGCAGGGAAGACTTGCGCCTTGACGCTAGAATTATGCAATTGCTTCAGGCTATTAACACTTTCTTCTGCTCCTCTCGATCAACAGATGGTGGTAGTATTGGCATTCGCTATTATTCTGTCACTCCTATTAGTGGTAGAGCTGGTCTAATCCAGTGGGTAGACAATGTTATAAGCATATATAGCATTTTCAGGTCTTGGCAGACACGTGTCAAGGTTGCCCAAATGCCGCCATCGGCTCCTGGTAGTGCAAAAAATCCAGATCTACCACCTGTTCCCCGACCAAGCGATATGTTTTACGGGAAAATAATCCCAGCCCTCAAGGAGAAAGGTGTAAGAAGAGTAATTTCACGAAGAGACTGGCCTCATGATGTTAAGCGTAAAGTACTATTGGATCTTATGAAGGAGGTGCCAAAACAGCTACTGCACAAGGAACTTTGGTGTGCTAGTGAAGGGTTCAAAGCCTTCACAATAAAGCTTAAAAGGTACGTCGAAGAAATTTGATAAGACTCCACTGTTTTAACAATATCCCTGGGAATCCCTTGTGAACACAGTAGCGTACCCATTCCTGACTAGTTGAACAAGAAATAGAAGCGGTTTTTCTCTTTATTTAGAAGAGTATGAAATGATCACTGTTTCTTAAAGGCATTAGACCTCTTACAAAAAGAACAAGAATTATCAGTTTGAGAAACGTTAGGAGATTATTCATTTGTTTTGGCAATATAAGGACAAGAATTATCAGTTTGAGAAACGTTAGGAGATTATTCATTTGTTTTGGCAATGTTTTCTTAATGCCTTTTTAACTGAACCTTGATTGCAAGGTATGACTTCTTAGGATTAAATTGTTTAAAAGCGGCTGTAATAGATTAGATCTGCTGTTTTAGCTCCATGGTTTTTTATTCTGTTGTGATATTAGACATCATTACATATTAACTTTGATTATATTAGTAAATTGAAAAAAAATTAAGAAGTTTCTGATTTACAGGTACTCTGGTAGTGTCGCAGCTATGAGTATAGTTGGTCACATGCTCGGCCTTGGGGACAGACATTTGGACAACATTCTCATGGATTTTTGTAGCGGGGATGTGGTTCATATAGATTACAATGTCTGTTTTGATAAAGGGCAACGGCTTGAAGTTCCTGAGATAGTACCATTTCGTCTAACCCAGACAATGGAAGCTGCATTAGGGTTGACAGGTGTCGAAGGCACATTTAGAGCAAATTGTGAAGCTGTTCTTGGTGTTCTAAGGAAAAACAAGGACATACTCTTGATGTTGATGGAAGTTTTTGTTTGGGACCCACTTGTTGAGTGGACCCGAGGAAATTTCCATGATGATGCTGCCATTGGTGGTGAAGAAAGAAAAGATATGGAGGTTGCCGTTAGCTTGAGTTTGTTTTCATCAAGAGTGCAGGAAATCCGTGTTCGGTTGCAGGTAAACATTCATTGCACTAAAGCATACATAATACAGCATAGTTATCTCCTTGTGATCTCCGATGTTCTTGGTGAACGCATAATTCTCTCTTATGTTCATCAATTACAATCATATTTCACAGTACACCGCCTTCTCCTGGAAAATTAGATTATGGTAGAATAGCATTATGTGCCACTTACAAAGACATAGTAAGCTTGATTTACTGGCATACTCGTAACTATATTGGTTTACTTTATCTTTTTCAGGAGCATCATGATCTCTTACTGGCAACATTACCAGCTGTTGAATTGTCTCTGGAGGTAAGATAGTTTCTTTCAGTGTCTATGAATTAAATTTGGACCCGTTTGCCAGCTTAATGATGGTGAGATTGTGTTTCAGCGGTTTTCCAAGGTTCTGAATCAATATGAGATTGCATCATCTGTTTTTCTTCAAGCTGATCAAGAAAGATCAAAACTTATTCTGCGTGAGACATCTGCAAAGAAGACAGTTGCAGAAGCAGCTTGCAATTCAGAAAACATTCGCGCTTCTTTTGAGATTCAAGCTCAAGAATTTTCTCAAGTAAAAGCCTTGGTCTCTGAAAAAGCTCAAGAATCATTGGTTTGGATGGAGCAGCGTGGAAGGATCCTTGGTGCCTTACGAAGAAATTTGATTCCTGAAATTACTGCCCCCACAGTGTTGACAAGTAAATTGGGTTCTTTATCTTTGACGTCTGCTGTTCTTGTTGCTGGAGTTCGACTGACTGTAGTTCCAGAGCCAACTCAAGTACAATGCAACAATATTGACACAGAAATTTCCCTTCTAGTTAATGACCTCAGTAACGGCCTCTCATCTGCTTTGGTTGCACTTCAAACATATTCTTTGGCTTTGCAAAGAATTTTGCCTCTTAACTACCATACAACAAGCCAGGTATACGATTGGGTGCAAGTCTTGCAGTTAGCTGCGCATGCTCTGTCTACTGATATCCTATCCCTTGCCAAAAGACAGGCTGGTGAACAATTTGCAAAATTACAGGGCGGTGACTCTCATTCTGTCAGTAACTGCTACGATGATCTGTGTTGTAAGGTAGAAAAGTATGCAGACGATTTAAAGAAGGTGGAGGGAGAGTATGCAGAGCTGGCTGCCTCAGTTGGAATGGGGCCTGAATTTAAGGCCAAGGATCGTCTTTTCTATGGTTTGATTAATTATATGCAGTCTCCAGCATTTGTGGAAAGCACGAATGCTGGTTTTAGTAATAAATTTGAGGCAACCGAAGGAGTGAGACTTCAGAACTCTGGAAAGAAAACGTCGAAGTCATTAGCTTTGTTGCACACATCGATCAGTTCATTCTATGATCGGTTAAAGGAACAAGTACATTATATTTTGAATGCTTCAGTGGAAAGAAAGGAAAGAAGCGAAAGCTTTGTATCTGAGTCTAGGAGTCTGAGCACTAATTTAGAGGCGCAGGTAGAGATGTGTATGATATTGGTGGACTTTCTTAACGAGGTAGAATATTGCGTTGGTCAGGAGATTTCTACTGTGGAAGAAAGTTTGACTGGATCCGCTCACCGTGTTAAAGAGAACTGGGCTTTGATCTTCCACAGAACCTTGCTCTCATCTAAGACATTAATCGCACACATGACAGAAGATGTTGTACCAGATGTTTTAAAAACGTACTTGGTCAATAATTCAGATTTTATGGATGCCTTTGGATTGATCTCACAAATCCGTGGATCCATAGATACTGCACTGGAGCATCTCATAGAGATAAAGGTGGAAAGAGATTCGTTGGTTGAACTTCAGCAAGACTACTTCAAAAAGGTTAGCCATATTACCGAGGGGCAGCTAGCTCTTGAAAAAGCAGCTTTGAAAAGCAGGGAACACCTATCGTGGGAAGAGGCAGAGGAGTTTTCATCTCAAGGAGAGGCTTGCCGGACACAGATGGACCAGCTTAATCAATCGTGGGGCCAGAGAGAGTTCCAAATATTATCATCGCTTATAAAGAAAGAAGCGCAAGTTAAAAATGCTCTTATCTCAGCTGAGAAACAGTTCCAGCTGCTCACTAATGCAAATGAGTCCAATAAGCCTAATGATCTCAAAAGTTCAGGGATATTGGTTGAATTGGTTAAGCCTTTCAGTGAATTGAAACAGCTAGATAAAACATTATCCTCCTTAAGCAGCTCAGCTGTTTCTATGTCAGATTTGATCCCTGCTTTTGGGGATCTCCTGGGCTGTGGGAAATCACTATCTGAGAACATGTCGCTTTTCAGAAGCGTACTTAAGGATCATTCCTTCTTCATCTGGAAGGTATGCATCATATATTCCTTCCTTGATTCATGTATACATGATGCTACACCGTCTGCGGATCAGACATTAGGGTTTGAGCAGCTAATTCTCCTTATGAAGAAGAAGTTTGAGTTTCAACTTCAAGAACGAGTAGATTGTTACCTGGCAGGAAGCGTTGCTCCTGCATTTTTATCTCAGCTGGATAAAGAAAACGAGCGTTTGAAACACTTCTCAGAGGAAAACAGTGTTAGTGGGGATCAAGTCAAACCAGAAAGTAGTCATTTGAAACAAGTCCATACAATGCTCGAGGAATATTGCAATGCTCATGAAACTGCTAGCGCAGCAAAATCAGCAGCATCTCGTATGAAAGAACAAATTAAGGAAATACGTGATGCTCTTCGCCGGACAAGCCTCGATATTGTCCAAATGGAATGGATGAACGACACTACATTGACCCCATCACAAAATATTAGGACTACACTGCAACAATCATTAGCCAGTGATGATAACTTACATCCTATATTCTTAGACCTCAACAGAGCCAAGTTGCTCGAAAGTATACGTTCCGCTATTCCCCAAATCACTAGGTCGATAGAAAGACTACAAGCTTGCGAACAAAACTCAATCACAGCTGAAGGACAGCTAGAGAGAGCAATGGGGTGGGCCTGCGGTGGATCTAGTTCCTCGGCCAAGATGTCTGGTATTCCTACTGAATTTCATGACCATTTGTCGAGACGCCGGCAGTTGCTTTGGGATGCTAGAGAGAAGGCATCAAACATTGCCAAAATATGTATGTCTCTTCTGGAGTTTGAAGCATCAAGAGACGGAGTTTGCCTAAACCCACGTGAAGCTCTTGAGCGTGATGCAAAAATCAGGGGGGACTCCAGGGCATGGCAGGAAACTTATCAGAACTTAGTTTCACGACTGGAGGTTACCTATAAATCTTTCACAGGTAAGTGCTTGAATCATTTTTGACGGAAAAAATTGCATGTCCGTACATCGTGCCGATGTAACACATTTTTTAGATTAAAAATTATTTTGCTTGGTCGTACTTTTTTAGATATTGAACAAGAATGGAAGCTTGCGCAAGCCAGCGTGGAAGCTGCCTCGACTGCCCTATATTCTGCCACTAATGAGCTTTCTATTACCTCCCTAAAAGCTAAGTCTGCGTCAGGTTAGTAATAACCTAGAATTCCCTATTTATAGAAATTGCCTTCGCTCTACTACAAGTAGTTCTCTGCCTTTCTCAAAGAACAACAGTTTCCATGCCATATTCTTTGTTTTGCTGATCGTGGTCAGGTACTGTTTCTGCGTATAACAAATATGATTCCATATCTCTATCTTAAATATTACAGGTGATCTGCAAAGTACTATTCTCTCAATGAGAGATTGCACGCGTGAAGCTAGTGTTGCATTATCTTCTTTTATCCGGGTATCAAGAGGCCAAACTGCTCTGACTACAGAATCTGGTGCAATGCTCAAAGAGGTATTCCTATGAAGGCAGATCATAGCATTAGCTTTTCTGATTCCTGGTTTATCTTAATATGTTGTTGCTAGGATACTACTGAAAGCTTTTACTTGAAAATTCGAATCATGTCTCTACTTGTAGGAGATTAGAACCATATATCTAAGTTCTCCTACTTGTGAAGTGAATTCCTACTGGCTATCTATAATCTGCAATTCTTTCGGATCTGAGCCCAAGTGTAGTATCAGATCTTTGACGCTTTATGTGAGCCTTTAGAATTAGAGGATTTAGTGGTTAGATCTTGATTTTTTAACAGTGATGGTCTTCTATTCAAGAACGCAAGAAATTCAGCAGCAAGTTCTCGACCTGGTCTTTAGGGATTCTGTGCTAATAGCAAGTTCATGGGCCTATAGATTTGATTTGCTTTGATATTTTAATTGGCCACAAGAATTTACGATGGTCTGAAAAAATAGGGTCTCATGAATTCTGCTGGCATTTATGTTGGGTATGTGATATATTGTAGGTTCTTGCAACAACAGAGGATCTGCATGATGTTCATAGTTTGGGAAAGGAGGCAGCCACTTTGCATCGTTCTCTCATGGATGATCTTTCAAAGGTGTTTATATCTTGCACTTCTGTGCTATCTTGAAAATTGAGCTGTATTTGAAAATGCCTTTCTCATATGTTTTTGCTGTTGATTTTTTGTATAAGTCACAAATGTAATGTCTGATTGCTTGAATGTATGAACAGGCTAATGCAATCCTTACTCCGTTAGAGTCAACTTTGTCAAAGGATGATGCTCTTATTGCTGAAGCTATGACCAGGGAAAGCAAGACAAACATCGAAGTTTCGTCGAAACATGGACAAGCTATATACCAGTCTTATGGTGTTAAAATTAGAGAGAGTTATCAGAACCTTAGGCCCTTGGTACCATCTATTGTAACTTCGGTGAAGGGTCTGTATACAATGTTAACTAGGCTCGCACAAATTGCAAGTGAACAATCTGAGGTTCGAAGTGATGCGGCATCTCCTCCAACACAGGCGCATACTCGAATCACAAGAGGTTACAAAACTCATGATCTTCAATTGTTTATTTCTAAGTATAGTTGAAATTCCGTATCCTGAGAATCTAAGGCGGCTTCTTGCAATGTTAAATGCAGGTAAAAACGCTTATGCACTGTCAGTTCTCAAGTCCATGGAGATGAAGATAGATGGTCGAAACATTGCTGACAACAAGTACGTCTCAGTAACCTTCTTCCCAATAAACTCTTACATAGGGATGGAAACTTAAAAAACTCACATCAGCAAGTCTTATAACCATTTGTATAGGGAGATTAGCATTCCAGAGCAGGTGGATTATCTAATCAAGCAGGCCACAAGTGTTGATAACCTCTGTAACATGTATGAAGGATGGACTCCATGGATTTAGACAAATGATTCGAAGCATACAGAAGCTTAACCAACAGAGCACTTCAAGTCACTGAAGAGGCCACATCAGGTTATTGCTGACACATTTGGTATCTGATGAAGTTGCACTCAACCGGGTCATTGGTGTTAGAAAGCGGCTCTACCTTTTGCTTGAATCGGGCATGTCTACAAACAGGTTTTAAGATTCAACGTTGTGGCTGTCTTATCGAGGTATGATCTTTGAACTCAATAGACGGATCCATTCCATACCTATTGTAATAAGGTAAAGCTTCCTTTACTGACTCATCATCATCTGTTACTTCCAATTTCAGCGCACAAACGCGACTTTAAGGTCTTGGAATCATAAGCAGAACACGGTGGAGATGGGAGATGCGTTACAAACTTTTTGGGGCTTCTTTCGATGGAGCTCAGGGTCTACTTTTGCTCCTAACCTTTCAGATGCAGCCGCACGAAGTTAAAACTCGAACATCCTCTTGTGTGCACAGTTTGCGTTTGGTGATTACTGGGGAAACAGTTTGCATATTAGCATCAGTCACTATTGTGATCACTTAATTATTAATAAATTAATCAAATATTTACGAAACCAGTTACTCTTTCAACAATTGAGAGTAATATGCCTATCCAGTTTTTATGTTTTCACAATCTTTATGAGAAAATAACATAGTAGGTAACACTCAATTATTGTTGCGTTTTCAGTTTCAAAACCTATGAACTACTTTTCAATAAAACAAACGTGTAATTTAACAACTAGGAAACAAAGGAATCACATCAAAAAGTTGGATAATAAGAGTTGAAAATTCATATCAATCAATCAAAGATGGACTCACCAAACTAGTGCCACGTGGAGTTGGAAAAATTGAGTAATAATGGAATAAGATAAGAAGAACATTAGGATTGGGCCAGACCATATCCACATTGCAACTAACCAGCTCGATCCTTTTATTTTGAGTTTATCATATTAAAAAAAAATAAAAAGAAACGAGAGGGATTGAGTTTTAAGTTTTACCCTTGCAAAGGAAAAATAGGAGAAAAACAATCCGACCTGCCGGAATCGAACCAGCGACCTAAAGATTTATCTGCATCCAATACTCTACCAACTGAGCTAAGGTCGGCTTCTCTGGTATGTTAGAAAACAATTTATATGTACTTAATAGATTTTGAGACGTCTCTTTTTTTCTTTCCTTTGTGTTGTTTTTGTGTTTGGCCGGTGAAACACGTCTTGGAAAATTCAAGAAGGCGCAAGAAGATATTTTTGATGATTTGGCCGGTCCTTAGATGGATACTTTGTACATATATAAAAAAGACAATAGTTCTTGACTTGTATTAGTGTATGGTCCCCAAGTGTAAAACCCCACAACACCAAGATGCCCATTTTTTTCTCCTTTTCTTAAATCAAGAACACAATTATATGAAAACCCATCAAACTTACCATTGGTTTTTCTTCAAATAGACAACTCTTCTTGACTTGTATTATTGGATGGTCCCCAAGTGTAAAACCAAGATGCGCACTTTTTCTCCTTTTCTTTTCTTGAACCAAGAACACAATTATATGAAAACCCATCAAACTTACCATTGGTTTTCTATTTCAAAATGACCAAAAAGGCCCCTCTTTCATTGTCTACATAAAGCTCCCATCCGTCTCTCTCTCATTCATAATTTCATATTAAGGATCAACAAGAAGAAGAATGGCAAAAGCTATTGAGGTTTGGGTGGGAGAGATGAAAAACATGGGTGAGAAGATAAATCCTAGAAACCCATTGATGCAGAGGAAGAAGAGTACATCTTCTGTTGTTTCCAAACAACAGCAAGGAGAAGAAGAAAGAGGACTTAAACAAAAGACAAGAGACAAAGATGAAGCTGCAACTATGTCTGAGCTCACTGTTTGTCTTCTCATGGACCGTTTTGTTCCATGGTGATATTCTTATATACTCTGTTTTTGGGATCTCCCCTTCGGTGATGTGTATATATAGAATTACATGTATATCTATGTCAATAGATGTTGTCTGTGCATAACATGTTCTTCAAATTCCCTTGTGAATTTATGAAAGCATGTAATTTGAGAGCAATAATTTGTTTAATTCAATCAGTAATGTTCAGTTATTGGGGCGGGATTCATGTGAAGATGGAAATTTTTATTCACTCTGTAATTTTGAACATTCATAGAGGTTAATTAGTCCATATAGTTTATGTTAATTAGTTCATATATGGAGGTTACTTAATCCATATATTATATGTTAAAATTTAATTATATGATGATATCGCGCCAGGAAGGGATCATACTTCCGGGTCCATGGATGATATGTATGTTATGTGTTTTAAAATTTAAAAACAGTCCACCATTTTGATTATGGGAGAAGATATCTATTATCATAGAATTTCTCATTACATATATAACGATTGCCCTAGGTATATATATTTATATAATATATATATATATACTGTATATATATACCATATAATTTCCATATATTTTTGAAGATTCAATCAAAACAAATTTTCTTTTTTGTTCTTGGGGATCTCCAAGTCATGATTCCTGGCTCTCATTGCAGCAAATGGGCACCTTCTACGGCAATCCGCACATTGTGACACCGGCACTGAGGGATTGCAAAATTGTTGACAATAAACTCTGCATGGTATTTCTTCTTTTTGTTCGCCTTCTATGACAATTACCGATATAATCATCATTAACCACACCATGCTTGATACTTTTCCCATTTTTTTTTTTTGAGTCTTTTATGTTTATGAATTGAGTTATGGATCGTATGATGAAAAAAAAAGTCTCTATTTATAATTGTGAGACAGTGATGGCTACATCGTCTTTTCAATTAGTAGTAGTCAAATTTGTTTCCATGATTGGACTCAGTTTGAAGGTACAATATATAGAAGATGTAATCACGTATAGATTCTCCAACTATTATTTTTTTGTCCAAATATTTTTGGATTTTGACATATACAGTATAAAATTTCCTCATTGACACCTTTTCATGTTTCAAACATTCTTTGCTGGTTTGGGTCATTGAAATGAAATGACTATATATATATTGCCGATTTCAGCATAGAAATGAAAAAAAAAAAGGATTTCATTAGTTGGCTGCATAAAACTCACAGTTTTGGGCTCACTTTCAAATTACATTAACATCATGAGTTTCTCACATCTTAATTTTGGAATGTGTGATCCTTTCAATACTATTTTATAATAATTTTAGCTGATATAATATGAAGATTTTGGAAATGTGCCATGCGCAGGCACAAAAACTTTATAAAACACAAATAATATTTAACATAATTTAATAATTTTAAAATACATAACCAATCGAGTCTTAGACGAATATAAAGTATGAAACAATATAAAATCGAATGTTATATGATAAAAATAATTAGTTAGTAATATCAAAGAAGTTGCAACACCAAGGCTAAAATAGTTTGGTAGAATAGCTCTGTTTCTTATTGAAAACAATGCTAATTAATGTATTATGCTGATTTTTTCATAATTTAACATAAATTATCCCAATTTTTTTTGTTAACCATTGCAGCAAATCCTACTGTAAGTAGGGAAAATATGGTAATTATGTAAATTATATGAGCTTATTTATGCTCAAATAACTTTTCCATAAAATATATAGAGTTACAAAGGCAAAACTAGAGGAATACTATGCTCGTATCTGAAGAATATATTAAGATTATACCTTGTTTTAACGTCCGTCAATCTTCTACTCGGTTTACTTCCAAGTTTCAACATCGATGACTCTGTAGTTTAAAAATGCCTCTCGAATTTGGTCCATCACTCCTCCATAAGGGTTCTATTGCATATATTTCTCCCGTGGACTATTCATCACGGTCATTAGCCTCATATATTTACTTCTTGAAGCAATCTTTAGTCTTTTCTTTTCCATGATGTTCACAAATCGATCTATGTACTACTTCCTTGAGAATCACCAACATAATTCTCTTAGTTTTCTCTGTTAAAAGAGATCTCAACTATACAGTTTATATATAATTTTAATTATACCATAGATAAATTTACTTTTCGCTTCTTGTCTTGAAAGTCAATGTTCTAAATATTTGCTATGTTTGAGCTTCTGATCTTCGTATTATTTCTATGTCATTATTCTTAAATATTTATTTTTATCCTTCGTTCCTCTCATTGAACTCGTGCGATGAATTTTGGAAAGCTCTGTAGATTTTTTTATCACTGAAACACTAATTTAAAGATGAAAACTCGCCAATTGGATTGATCATATCGAATAAAATCCAAAGTATTACCAAGATAGTGAAAAAACAAAAAGAAAGCAAAAGCAATACAAATATATTCTTTTCATTCTTCTTCTTCATCATCTTTGTCTTCTCCCATTTATTTTTCTTCTCAGACCATTTATCTTCATATTTATCTTATTGTTCTACATCCCCTGATCCGGTTCACCAACATGGGGATGTAGAAGCTGTTGCCTGCAGGGAAGTTGACAATGCTTAAATCTGTACCCTCTGCTATTTCAACCCACTCCATGTCGTGCTTCAAGTTACCCACCAGCCTGTGCAAATGCATTCAGTCAGCTTTAACCAGATTCTGGTGGGATAATAACCCAGACCAAAAGAAAATATGCTGGCTATCATGGACTAAACTATCAAAACCGAAGCAGCAAGGAGGTTTGGATTTTCGTGAGATTCAACAATTCAACGACGCTCTCCTAGCGAAACTATCTTGGAGAATTATCACAAACCCCTCTAGCCTCTTAAGCCGAGTGTTCCTAGGGAAATACTGTAAGGAAAAGTCGAACCCCTATCGCTTCATTAACCTCCCACGGATGGAGAGGCATTCTAATTGGGAGAAATCTACTAGTTAAACAACTTGGCGTTGCTATTGGGAATGGGAAAAGTACCTCCTTATGGAGCGACCCTTGGATCTTTGGACTCCCCCACTCACCCTGTAGGCCCTCCTACAAACATCTCTAAGGATTGAAAAGTATCAGATCTTATCTCAGATGCTGGGAACTGGAACAAAGAGAAGGTCAGGGAGACCTTACCGGCTTATGCTGACAATATTCTCGGCCTCCGACCAAGCTCCAATGGTGCTGCAGATCGGTTCTTCTGGCTCCCTAATAAATCAGGAGAATACACCTCAAAGTCGGGTTACTATGAAGCTACTAAAAATGAGAATCCACAGCACACTAATCAACATAATCTCAAGAATTTTAGACTAAAACCATAGCTATGTATAGGCAACAATACACAAATAATGCAAAGAAGCTAAACACCACCAACAAAGAAAATAAAAAATCAGAAATATTAAAAATTACCTTTTGAAAACCACGAAGCAACCGATCCAAGTTTAATCTCTTACCCAGCATGTATTTTTAGCGCCTACGTTGGATAAAAAAGGTAAAAAAATTAGATTTAATATGGACAATAACATAAATCACATCATGATCAGTGATCACAATAAAAACCACAAAAAATCAATATGAAGAACAATGAATCTTTTTTTTTAACTAAAAGAACTGTGGCCAAAGTATATATGTTCGAAAGAAAAAAAGGAATCTTAACTAAAAGCACCGTGCTGGACGATAAAATCGAATGAAGAAGAAAATATACCCCATAGACTTGAAGATGAAATCGTAAAAATAAATTATGAAATCAAATAATGAAGAAGTTAGAATATTAACAAACGAAAGAAAGCAAGAAAATATATCTCCTAGACGTAATTAGAGAATATAACTAAGAGAAAATATAAACAAAGAAGAGAATTAGAGATGGATATATACAGTGTTTTAAAGAATTATGTTAGAGTTTTAGAGTTCACGGAATTTTATAAAGACAATCTAAAACGGGTTTTAATGATCCAATTAGAACGAAGTATGACACATCATTTTTAAAATACACATAGGATTAATAATTGATCTATAAAAACTAACTAAAATGTCACATAATTTTTTTTTAATAATGACACATAAGCGAATTGCTGTAGAGATGACACATAGGATTTCTGACTTCGCAAATAATAATATAAATTTAAAAAATTATGTTAGAGTTTTGGAGTTCACAGAATTTTATAAAGACAATCTAAAACGGGTTTTAATGATCCAATTAGAACGAAGTATGACACATCATTTTTAAAATACACATAAGATTAATGATTGACATATGAAAACTAACTAAAACGTCACATAATTTTTTTTTAATAATGACACATAAGCGAATCGGTGTAGAGATGACACATAAGATTTCTGACTTCACAAATAATAATATAAATAGATAGATAAATAGATTATAGGTCCCATGAGCTTTATCTGAATACAAACCACAATCAGGTCTGGCCCACAGAGAGTGGGCAGAGGTGCTCCAGCCCATGGATCCCTCACATTTTTCCAAAAATTTATTTGTAAAATGGATACAGCATATTTGTTTTTTTGGTCTATTTTGGTCAAATTTTTTTAAAAAGCCTAATATAACCTAAGTTTTCTTTTATAATGATCATAAACTTTTTAAAAATTAGCCCATATTTTTAACAAATATATCATACTTCAGGCCTAACATATTTCATTTCACCCAGAGAATCTAGTATATGTTGGCCAGGCCTAACCACAATAATTTGCTAGATCGGTTATATCCAGTTGCGATACAAAGATAAGAACAAACATAAAATGAAAATTTTTACTAGGGATGAGCCTTGCTCGATATCATGAAGAAATCCATGGAACTTCTCCTCTTGAATTTCTGAAAACTAAGGTTGTCTGAAAAAAAAAGAGATCTTTTTCTAGTCGTATTTGGAACCGTCGTTAAAACACTCGATGAAATTGGCTTGAGATAGTGCATAATGCATAGTCGTAATTTCACACGCAGTGGCGGACCCATGCTTTTTTTTTTAATCTGGATCAGAACATAATTATGATAACTCTTAAAATATGTGAAATAGCCTAAATAACCTATGAAAAATTAACACATTTTTTGGAAGATATTTTTTGCTAAATTACCCTTATAATATGATACTTATTACAAATATACCAACACTTATAATTAAAGCAAATTAATATATATATAATTAAAAGAAAACACGGAAAATAAATTAAAAAAAGAAATCTAATCAACTTATATAAAAAATCATTAAAAACAAATCAAAACACTAATGTAAAAGGAAAACGTTCATTTAAAAAAAATAAGAAATCCATTTTTGAAAAACCCTTGTCGATGGTTTCATCTTCTTCATGAGCCATTTTTTAATTTTCAACTATTAATTCTACTAAACAACAAAGATATCAACTATCAATCTTATTACTCTCCAATAAAAATCGTAAATTGACTTGTAATTTCTTTTATTTCTGTGTTAGGATTGATTATGTTTCTAGGTTTCTCAGATTGTGTATTTTGTTTCTAATACTATTTTTTTTTGGTAGGTACTCACTTTAAATCTTACAAACCATGGTTAAAAAGGAACAAAATCATCATCTCCTTAGTTTTCAGAATTCAAAGTTCATGAAGATTCAGGCAACTAAAACCATTTTCATGTAGAAGATGAAACACATGTGAACTCTGCCATGTTTTAGCAGACTTCAAATCTACGTATTTTGATAGATTTCATAGGTATACTGAAGTGAAGTTTATAAACAATCTGTAGGCCAGACATCAATAGCCAATTTTGCAGACTCATATTTAGTCCATAGACACTCGCAGACTCATATGAAGTCTAGAAGTTTTCGGTAGATTTCAGTAGCTAATTCGATAGATTTAAGTTTTGTCAACAGACATCCGATAGACTTTTGTGAAGTCTACGAGTTTTGGGTAGACTTTAAAATCTAATCCCGCAGACAGATTACAAGTTTATCGACACTTGACAGACATTCGTGAAGTCTACATGTTTTCAGAAGACTTCAAAAGCTCATCCCGCAGACTTACTTTTGGTTTGCTGAATATCGGCAGACTTGCACAGAGTCTACGTAATTTGAACACACTTTAAATCTCGGGTTGGCAGACTTGCATAATGTCCTCATGGTTTTGGTAGATTTAAAAGTTCTCTTTGCAGATTTTCGAGTAATCTGGTTGATAGGATCTTTAAGTCTGCTAAAAATGCGCAGGCTATAGGAAAGTCTATCGACTTTTTACAGACTTAACTACAAGTCTGTCGGCTCTGATTTTAAATTCTGTCAAAAACATGTAGATTTCACGCAAGTTTACCGAGCATCCTCAAATTCAAAGTAAGTTTGTCTGATTGGTTTTTGTAGTCAGCCAAAAAAGTGTAGACTTCACGCATGTCTGCTGAATGTTTCTCAGACTTCTAATATGTTTGTTAAAATTCGATTTTGAAATCTACCGAAAACATATAGACTTCACGTAAGTCTACCGATTTTTCACGGACAAAACATAAGTCTGCGTGATTGGGTATTGTTGTCTACCAAGAACTTGTGGACTTTATATGTCAGCGGACAAATTATGATTCACAAGAAGATTCTCTACAATCTTTGATGACCAAGTGAACTTATTTCCTACAAACTGTGTAATTACACCCAGCGAAGAATCATAGATGTAGGTCCACACTTCTTCGTTAAAAGCCGTGTAATTACACCCAGCAAAGTTGTAAAGGATTTCGTTTGAAAAAAAAGTACGATGACTGAAACAGAACAAGTCGGCGACAAAACTTGTTCAAATATAATATTTAATTTAGATTTAAATTAGAGATATCATTAATTTTATTTTTTGATAAAATTTTTTTGATTTTTTTCAATATTAAAACGAATTTGAAGTTAAATAATAATTAATGATATTGATAAGGGTAATGTAGGAGTTACAATCAGTTTAAAATGATTAGTAGGTTATGTGGATAATAAAATATATCATAGGTTATTCTAGCCATTTCAAGAAAAAAATAGGTTATTCTAGGTAAATTTCTCTTATGATATTAATATTAAATTTTTTTTATTAAAATATAAAAACTCTTACAAAATCATTTTACTCTATAAAATAACTCTACGATCATTCATATCTTGAAATCTTTTAATGACAGACTCATTTGTAATTGTCTGGAATACATCTTTCTCGACAAAACAAATTAAACAATCATTCAAAAATTGATCTCCCATCCGATTGCGTCGATCTGTCTTCACGATCTTCATTGCTAAAAACATCTCTCCATAGTTGCAGTAGCAACAGGCAAAATCAAAATCAACTTCAGAAACCTATAAACTAAAGGAAATGACATATGTTTTCGCTAACATACGAGCAAGTTCTGCAAAATTTTGTAAATGAGTAAATTTTTTATCACTATGAACGTTATCAATATAGATTCTAATTGTTGCTCAAGAATATGCATTCTCCTGAACTAAAATTAGATGGGTAGAATTCCGATAACCTCATCAACTTTGACTTTAGTTAAACATTTAATAAATTTTCGAATTTTATTAATAAATTAAAATATAGCCTAAAGTTAATGACAACAAATTTGGTAACATGTTATATTGGGTCAAATTAAAAATCTGGTAAAAGTTAAAAATATGACACTATAATGGCGGATCCATATTATATTAGGTCAAATTTGATAAAGTTAACATGTTAAATTGGGTGATTGGGTAAAATTTGGTAACAAAAAAAGAAAAAATGGGTGATGAGTCCACCATTGCATTTAGGTTTAAGAGAAAATTTCTGTAATAAAACTAATTATATATTTTGTAATGAAAAAAAATCAAAATTAATACTGTGTAAGCGACATAGTATCCTTCCATGTAGGTCTGCCTCTGTTCACACATCATGGTCTTTTTGTTGGTGATCGTTGTAGTTGTCGTGGGTATTGTGGAGCCTGTTGAGGTTTTGGTGACGGAGGAAGACTATCTTTAACAATTACAAGTGGAACGTTCTTTTCTTAATAGTAGAGAAAACTCTTTTGTGTTTTTTTTTTGTGGTACAATGCAATCTTTTTCTATATGTAATTAGTTTTTTTTTTTGAAAAAAAATCTGAACCACGAATTTCTCTCTCCAACCCTTTTCTCTTCCATCCTCTTCCAGCCGCCAAACCCTAATTTTTTTATCTCTCTCCTCGGTGGTTGGCGCTCCTCGCTGCCGCCGGGGAGGCCTTTCTCCTCTTCGGTTCAATGTGCTTTGGATGGTGTGTCGGGTGGTGCTTCGGTGGCTCTGTGTGCGGATGTTTGAATCGAAGGAAGTGTGTAGCTTTTGGAAATTAATTCCTTCACTTTTTCGACCTCCGGTGGTAAATCCATGGCGCTCGGTGTGGGATCTCTCTAGATCTTGGTGTTGCCGCTGCGTTTTCTCTCATGGTGGTGCGGTTAGATGGATTCTCTTGGCGGTGCGTGGTGTGAGATCTTCGAGGACGGGTCTCGACGCCCTGCTATCAGATCAGTTTTTTTCCTCTCCTCCCTCAGTGTATCGAAGCCTGAGGCGAGCTCGGCGTCGTCCCTAGGTTAGCTCGCAGCGGCGGCGTTTCTTCAAGGCGTTGACTTTCCTGGTGGCTCAGCACGTGCTTCTGGTGGCAGCATGAGGCTCACTGTGCCAAACCGGTGTTCAGAGCTCGGTCTTCGTGCAGTGTTGCTCGGTTTAAACAGTTTTTTTGTCTCCGGTGGCTCCTTGTCTCGGCGTCATTGTGGATGTTTGCTCGTTTCTCTTTGTAGGATTAACTGTTTACGTTTGTGTGCTTTGGATTGAGGCTGCTTTTAGTTTTGTCTTGTGTCTTGTTCGCTTGGCTTTCAGAGGAGGTAATAAGGCTGTCTTTACTTGTTGTCGCTTGGCTATGTGCTAGCCGACGTCGGGAGGATCTTGGTAGAGTTAGTAGCGCTTCTTAGCTTCGACAGCTAGTGTAGTCCTGTTCTAGTGCTGGATCTAGGTTTGTTAGTTGTGCGCCAATTCTTAGATTTTGAGGGCTGTCTTAGATCGGGTCTTCTTGGATTCTTTGAGGGATAGCTCTTTTTCAGGCTGCCAAATGAAAAAGCTTCCGTTATGCTTTGTGGATGTTTCTTCGAGCCTTCTTCTAGCTTTCTCCTTTTGATCATATCTCGGTTCCATTTTTTCTTGGGTGGTTTCAAGCTCCTTATCGCTACTGTTTGATGCCAAATTGCTTTATTGCTACGGTTTCATCTTAGTACCGATTGTATTTTGCTTCCATGTTTTTTTACGTTTTTGCCATGGGACCAATCTGTTAGGTCAAACATTTTGTTTCACAATTTGTAACACCTAAAATTTTTATTTTTAATAAATATTTAACATTTAGCAAAAAAAAGAAAAAGTTTTTCTTATGTTCTTGTTACGTTTTTTACTGTGTTAAGTAACCACAATTTTGAGTGCTTATACAAATAATAGACCACTTGTGAAGAGCATATGTTAAAGTCAGTTGTACGTTGAATGTGAAGCATAAAGGGGGCACTAACCACTTTAATTTCACAAGTCCAAAATAATCAATATCATAGGACCTGAGTGCCGTACAGACAAGAGTAACAAACAAAAAAAAAATCAATTTTCAACACTTATATTCACTTATGTTCTTGAGATAGTCCTTGAGTATTGAATTAAAATCTGCCTTACCTTCACTGGTGGGTTCGCCAATCTACAAGTCATCATCTCCTTTATGTTATTGCAATAGTAATCGATCTTATACTTTGTGTTAAACTTCAATCCATGACCTTTTTCTCACTACCATTGTTCCATAATTAGCTTTGATAACTCTAGACTTAGCTTACTCTGGGGTCTTATTCAATCATGGTTTTTAATAGAGTCTAAATCCATCCAAAATCTTTTGTTATTCAATAATTTATTTTGATTTCTCTATAAAAAGCCAATGTTATTGGTTCATGTATTTACAATCTCTTTATAGATTTTGAAATCCATTGTTATTCAATCAAAGTGTTGAATAAGTCAATTAAAATCTTTTGTTATTCAAGTTTAACAAATTCTTACAATTTATTTTATGTTGCTTTTTTTCTTTGATTTTTTTGCTTACGTATGTGCTTTTTAGGTTGTTTTTTTTCTTTGAAATTTTAAAATCCAAAATTTATTGAGAATTCTATTCCATTAGATTTTAAATGATATCATGTGATTTTCTAAATACACTGCTAAGTAATTTAAAATTTTAAACAACTCATATACAATATAGATTCTAAATGAATTATTTTTATAAAAAAAAATTCTGATCTACTCTAATCTAATGGTGTTGATTTCAACATATAGAACCAATACCACCCTCTCAGCTACATCAGGTGGTCTTTAATTGCAGTGAAATTGCTTTTGAGAAAATGAATTGATCACGCCACTAACTTGGCAATTAACGAGGCTTGCTAGGCACCCGGCACGAACGGTTGTGGAAATGTTGGGTTCCTAGTTATAAGTTTGCTGTGAATGCCCCTCTAACCTTTTGCATAATAGATGTTTAACTGCGTCTAACATATAAAAAACTTTCGAATCTTTGATGATCTAAATACTTATTTATGTAGTAATTTGTTGATGTGTCAGATTTACAGCGAATTTCAAATCGTTTTGCTTACGTGTCAGCTTCATTATGAGTTTTGGCTGCAAAAAAACTTTTTTACCATATTTTTTAATTTAGTGTAATTTTTTTTTATTGGTTCTTATCTGATGATGTGTTAAAATTAACTTAAAATATACCGCTATAAATTATTATGGTTTAATGCAATGTTTTCGGACCCAGACTGGACCGGATGGTTCGATCGGTTGAACCGTGACCCGGCAAGATTTTTGGTTTGGCTTTTGTTGAAAACCCATGATGTTATGAAACCGTTCAAACCTAAAAAAATTTGCTCAAACCCGGTGAACCGGCAAAAACCCGACTTAGACGGTTTGTAGTAATAGTGTTTTGTTTTTCTTTATTTTATTGATTAGTTTGTTATTTTTTCATCATTACACATTAGTAAAATTAAAATTTTCTGATAAAATTTTGATAGTTCAAAAAGAAAATAAATTGAATAAAAAAATATAGAATGAAATATATAATTATAGATGTAAAAAAATATAATTAATATGATTACTAAGTATTGTGTATATTTATTTAATATTTTATAGTAAAAAATAAAAAATATAGAGAAAAAGATATGTAATAATTAATTCGATTCAGTGACAGAAATTTTTAGAATAGCTCTTATTTTTTTAACACACAGCAGAAAAAGTGTAACTAAAATGATGAACTTTATTAAAAAAATAACAAACATATACACTTAGTTGACCCGTGGTTGATTCGGATTGATCCAGGTTATCCTAGTGATCCGAAAACCCGAAGAACTTTCCGAGTCATTGTTGGGGTGAAAACCGCACCCCGGTTTTCTCCGGTACAAACTGAGATCGGCGAACCGTAAGCCCGGTTTATGAAGGGATGTACCGAGAGAAGATGGGCCGAGCGAAGATGGGCCGAAGATAGCCCATTAGGCCGAGGTCGGTGGGAAACCTCTCAAAGGAATAGAAGGTTTCCTTGAGCTCGGCCGAAATAGGAAAGTTTCCTGAGGGAAAAAGGAAACTTTGGAGAGAAAAGGAAAGGAACCGAGAGAAAAGGAAATTCCTCTCGGTCCCATATCGTCTAAGGCGTGCTTGAAGACCGACTTATGAGATATATATAAAGGGAGACGAATCGACATCAGAGGACACAAGTTATTCCCAAGAAGACTTAAAGACCGAGAACTCGTTACGACAGCTTCTTAGTCGCATTAAGTCTTAGTTCGTTATTGCCTATTGAAATAACCGAACTCAGTTGTATTTCACTTGATTCAATCTAATAAAACCGAGCTTCCGATCTAAATTACTGTTTTGTCCCTTGTCGATATTCACATATCAACAATTGGCGCGCCAGGTAGGGGGCTTTAAACAGATATCTCAGATTTTTGATCGGACTTCGGAAAGATTGAATCAGCGATGGCAGACCAATCCAACGTTCACGAAGAAGAAAACCCTCTCAGGGGAAATAACATCAACGCCCAAACAGAGCAAACGGGAGGAACTCCTGGAGAAAACACCGGAACTGCCGCCGAGCAAACTCCCGCAGCCGTAACCGACCTGTTACTCCAAATGTTCACTGCTCAGTTCGAAGCCATCAACAAAAGGAGCGAGGAACGTTTCAGTCAGATGGCGGCACAGATCGCCGAACTCAGTCAGACACGAACTCCTCTCCGAGTTCGGAACATCATTGACGATCTCAATGCCGACGGAGATCCAACCAGAACTATGAGGTCTGCCGCGGTCGGGTCAGCATACCCACCAGCCCCGGATTCAAGCCGAGACGCCGAGTTTGAAGCGATGAAAGCACAGCTTCGCGATATCACCTCAAAAATACATCAAGCCACAAGCGCGGCCCCGGAGATCGAGCGCGTCATTCAGGAAACACAGAAGACTCCTTTCACATCGCGCATCGCAGGGACGCCGGTCAAGCACATGGAGAAACTGAAGATGAAAATCTACGAGGGCAACTCTGACCCTCGACACTTCCTGACATCGTTCGGCATCTGCATGAACCGATACCAGTTTAAGTCTGCCGAAGAAAGAGACGCGGTTCAGTGCCAACTATTTGTGGAAAGTCTGGGAGGAGTAGCTCTCGACTGGTTCTCACGGCTCGAAGCCAATTCAATCGACAGCTACAAAGAGTTAACGACAGCCTTCGTCAAGCACTTCTCCATGTTCATTGGACAGAATACCAAGAACTCCGAGCTCTGGCAAGTAGCTCAAGGACCAAGCGAGAGCCTTCGCGACTTCATCCAGCGCTTCAAGGCAATCGTCGCCAACTGCACGATTAGCGACGAAGCCGCTCTCTTATGCCTTCAGAAAGGAGCTCGGATAAAGACCAGTTTTCGAAGCGCGATTACGCATAACCCACCGCAGACGTTAGAAGATGCGTTACACCGAGCTAATACTTACATTGCTGAAGAAGAAGAAGAAGCTGCGTACGAGCAAAGTCACTCAACAAAACAACCCGAACGTCTGAAACCCGCGACTAACGAGCCGCAGTCGGGATACGGTCGAGGATATGAGAACCGCAAGAAACTCTATGCTAACGCAATCCAACAACCAAGCAAGCAGTGGAATAATAAATGGGTCCGCGGTGAAGAAGACCAAGACGAGTCGTTATTCTGCGAATTCCATAACCGTAGGGGCCATAGCACCAAAGAATGCAGGAATTTGCGAGAATATCTACTCGGCCTGTATCGCAAGGAGCCGATCTCGGTCGACGAACTCCGACGCTCAAATACGCCTAAGAGCGGTGGGCAACTCTCGATGCCTCGACCGAACAACGAACATCTCGCCAAAGATCCACCAACTCCACCGGCTTTACCGACACTACCACCACCGCCACCGAATCCGCCTGCTTTGCCCGAGCAACAGAAACGGAATCGCGATGACCGAGCTCCGGAGAATCATGCTCCTAAGGCGCGAGAACGTGTCAACATGATAATGGGGGCCATCGAAGCTTGCAGTTATTCCGTTCGAGCCATCAAGGAATACAGCAAACAAGCCGCTAGCACACCGAAAACCCCGCAGGATCCGCCGAAGGGAACGCCCTTGGTCTTTACCGAGGCTGACACGATCGGAATTCACTAGCCGCATAATGACGCTCTCGTTGTCGATCTACTCCTCGACGATGTCGAAGTTAGCCGCATTCTGATCGATACTGGCAGTTCGGTCAACGTTATCTTCAAGGAAGCACTTGACCAGCTCGAGTTGGCGTCAGATAGGATTGATCCGTTCATCGAGCCACTTACCGGATTTAATGGAGAACGTTGTATGACGATCGGCACTGTCAAAATCCCAATCTACGTCGGCGGAATCGCAAAGATGATCCAGTTCCTTATCCTCGACAAACCGGCAACGGACAAGCCGAAGCCACGAACAAGACCATCATTGACGGACTGAAGAAACGACTCGATATCGCTAAGGGAACGTGGGCAGACGAACTCGACGGCGTCCTGTGGTCCCACCGAACGACACCGCGACGTTCAACCGGTCAGTCACCTTTCTTCCTTGCGTATGGCGCAGAAGCTATGTGTCCAGCCGAACTTAACGTCCCAAGCATTCGCCGAACTATGCTTACCCAGCAACCCGAGGCGAACAACAATATGATGATCGACGCACTTGACTTAGTCGAAGAACATCGCGAACGAGCACTACTCCGGATACAGAATTACCAACAACTTGCAGCTCGTTACTACAATAAAAAAGTTAAGGGCCGTCACTTCGAAGACGGCGACCTCGTACTTCGTAAAATCTATCAAAACACCGAAGAGAAGAACGCAGGAAAACTTGGCGCGAACTGGGAAGGACCATATCAGATTATGAAGGTCGTTAAGCCCGGCGTTTATCAACTCATGAAGTTAGATGGAACTCTGATCCCGCGATCTTGGAACTCGATGCATCTCAAACGATACTACTACTAGTTCGTTTCGAAGCGCCAAAAAAAACAAAAAAAAAAAAAAAAAAAAAAAGCCTCCGAACTACTTAGTCGGAGCGAAAACCCCTTTTGTACTTAGAACTACGAATGGCTTGATCCCTTTAAAGGGTACGTAGGCAGCTCGTTACCGAGTCCAGCTATAACATCAATAAAATTTTATTGTCAAGATATGACAAAGTGTTAGTTCGAAATCACAAGGGACCGAACTCCTTGTCTTTACATCGACTTCCTGGCCAGTTGTTCGATAGCATTCCACATGAATGCAAACTTAAAAGCCGAGATCCGTCTCGCGAGCACCCACATGGTGTCGTGGTTAAGCCACATATCAAAAGCTGGGCCCAGTCCCGCAGTTAAATTTCTAAGTCACCAAGAACAATAAGCCGAGCACATCTCGCGTACTTAGGTTCGACTTAGAAAAACCTTGAATTCGTTTCGTGCGTTTACAAGAGTTCGAATCTAATTCACTCTTCCAGTACGAAACGATTCACTTGGGTTCCCCAGGCCGAGCTCATACGCTCGCACGATAAGCCGAACTCCTCAGATTCGCACCGTAAGCCGAGTTCACAACACTCGCAAAACGTAAGCAGAATTATCGCAATTCGCTATCAAAAGATAATAATCACGTTCGAATATCTACTATATACCGATCTAATACTTAAGCATTAATCGCAAATCTTAACGACGACATAAAGTTAAATCGAAGGTTAGATGCCGATCTACTACTTGAAAGATTTTTCTAACTTTTAAAGACAAGGAAGGAAGGAAAAACGAACGCATAAAATAAAAAGCCCCGAGAGGCAAATAGAGTCAGAACCCACCAAGGGCTCGGAATTAGAAAAAGAAACCCATGCAAGGGCAGTTAAGTTCGAAGAGTAAAAGAAAAATAGGAAGAGATTAGATGGTCTTCGAGGCAGCAGCGTTGAGTATGTCCTCGTTTGAGCCGAACTGCTCACCCCTCGCAGGATCTTGCGCGCTCTGGGTCACATTTGCGACCGGAATGTCATCTTCCTCTACGAACGGAGACATCTTCTTGTCCTCCTCAGTGAGCACGCAAGCATCGATCGCCTTGAAGTCCTCCAGCGCCTTGGCATGCCTTGCTTCAATATCCGCAACCATTTCTGGCGGGACCTCGTACAGACCCTTTCTCCCCAACTGCTTGATGAAACCGAGGACCCCGGTGAGCTGGTTGTAGACCAGGTACGGCTTCCGAGCCCTGTCAGCATCGTCCAAACTCCGAATGACTTTCTCAAGGCGTTCGCAAGCTGTTGCGTGAACGCTCCTAGCTCGATTCTTCCAGTGCACCACCATGCCTTGTAGCCGCCCTTTGTCCTTCTCGAACTCTTTAGAGAGTAAAATCTGGGCCTCGGTGAGCTCGTCTTTCACCGCCTTCAGCTCTGCACTCTCCTTTTTCAGCAAGTCAACTTGAGAGTGCAGAGTTTCGTTGATTTGGAGCTCAGTGGCGAGACGCTCCTCTGCTTTGGCTATCCTTTCTTCGAGCTCGGAGACCCTTACTTGTTCGTCGAACAGGGCTACTTCATATGCAGCGACCAAGTTATTGGTCTGACTGGCGAGCTGCACAGTTGAAACAGGAATTAGAACTCATACTTGGAAGAATATCTAAGTCTGTAAAGGGTAAGTAAAATTACCACAGCAGTCGTGTGAGCGATTCCCTTGTACATGTTGGGAAACCGGAGCTCGGGAACCGAGGGAAGACTAGGTACCTCCGAGGAGATCTTATGATAGAGCTCGGCGCAGGCATCTACGTTCTCCTCAAAAGGAGTCTCCTCGTCGTAGTCAAAACAAACTCGGACTCTCTTAGCCGGCCCGTGCTCTTGAGAGCCCTCGACATGGTCCCTGGTTTGCCTTTTTCGGGAGTGTGAAGCTTCAGCTCGATCTTGCGAGAGCGCGAGGCCCGACGCTACAGCTGCCGGTGGATCGAGCTCGGCGGGAGTATCTTGCACCGGAGAAGAGTCCTCTGCTTTCTTACTCTTCTTCGAAGACTTCTTCTTCTTCGTCTTCCTCTGATCAACCTGATCAGGTGAGCCCGCAGCAGGTGGCAACTCTTCTGGCTGCACTTCGTTCTGTTCAGCAGCAAGGACTGGGGTCGGCTCAGCCACCTCCGTTTCCTCTTCATCAAAGAGAGTTGGGATTTCGTCAATGGAAAGCATCCTGGCAGCTCGGGAGCGTTGAGTTCGCGACTTCAGTGATTGGCGTTTGGGAGCGGTTCGAGGCTTGCTAGCTCGAGTTCTCGGCTTGCGTGGTTTTGGTTCTCGAACGGAGCCTGAAATGAAAATGTGTTTAAGGAGGAGTTCAGAGTAAATTCAGAATAAAGTGAGTAAAGATAGACTTCGATGAACATACCCGCTTTCTTAGCTCGGCGTTGTAGGATTTCTTCCCAAACCTCCGGCCAACGACGTTTACCGGCTTCGCTGAATGCTTCTTCGAACTCAGAGGTGAGTCCGGAGTTGAGAAGGAGACTCGGAAGATGACGACCTACGAAAATAAGACGAAGTCGAGTTAGCAAGCAGTAAAAGTCAAAAGTTATCTAAGTGTGAAATCATCTAATCTACCAATCGGAATCTTCTAATTCGACTGAATTGCGATGTCAGAATTGCTGACGGTGAGATCGTTCATTTCAATATAGAAGTACTGGGACTCCCAATCGTTGAATTTACTGGGCTTAGGTCCCATAACTAAATTCTTCTTCGGCTTGGCATTGGCGGCGAAGAACCACTCATTGGACTTATGGATATTGACCGAGAAGAGGTCTTCGAAAATTCGACTCGATGGTACTTCGCCAAGCTCGTCGCATAAGGAAACGAACCCAACGTATTTCGTTATTGAGGCTGGCATCACCGGTGTGAGAGCTACGCCGCACCGATTGCAGTATCCCAGTAGGCGAGAGGGAATGGGGAAAGAAAGCCCGCACTGAGTGAAGTACGTCAGGTAGACGCAAAGGAAGCCTTCGGGAGCGTCCCACGGCCGATCTCTAGCCTCCGGAATGATGAAAATAATCTTGTCCGCAAGCCCGTTTGCCTCGAGCACGGCTCGAACGACACCAGGAGAAAGGGAACAAGAGGGCACGTTGTTGGGACGAACTACTTTCCGCCTCGGAAGTGGTGGCGAAGCATGAATAACCGCCTCAATGTTGTCGACTTCAGTATCAACAACGTTCTCCCCCTGAAATTCTTCCTCGATCTCCTCGATCTCGGGGGTGTTAGCATCAACGTTCGGTCCAGCCCGAGCCTCCGTTTTGCGAGCCTCTACAGTCAGATCTTCGGTAGCTTCAATTCTGACTCTAGCACGGCTGCTGCTAGCTTCTGCAGATCTAGAGTTCTTACGAACTAATTGGGGAAGATTGCTTTCGTCCAGTGATGAACTTGACTGCTGAGGGTTTGAAGAAGAGGAGCTCGGCTCCGAGGACTCACGGTGGTCTTCCGGAAGAATTTTATTCGAGGAAGAATTAATCGAAGAGCTGGAAGACATTTTAGGGTTTGGGAAAGAAGATTTGAAGGAAATAAAGAACAGTTTGAAGATCAACCGGAAAGTTTGAAGGTTGATCGGAAAAATCAAGAGTTCGCGGCGGCGAGAGTTGAAGAAACGAGAGAAAACGAAGAACAAAAACTAGAGAGAGAAATGAAATCTAGAGAGAAGGGAGAGCGGCGTACCTTATATATGCTTGAGGCGAGAATAATGAATGCGAGAAGAAGAGTTGCCCTTTATACACAGTGGGAATCGTGGGTTCCTCGATTTTCGCGAAAAATCCCGTAATTCACGCGCCTCATTGAAGATAGGCGCGAAACGTCCGGAAATGCGAAACGACAACAGTTACCGAGCTCAGTTTGTGATCCAATAACCGAAGAATTGAGTTCAACTGAAAGTCACCTCCTTTCACCGAACTGAGGGGGGGGCTAACTGTTGGAGGTGAAAACCGCACCCCGGTTTTCTCCGATACAAACTGAGATCGGCGAACCGTAAGCCCGGTTTACGAAGGGATGTACCGAGAGAAGATGGGCCGAGCGAAGATGGGCCGAAGATAGCCCATTAGGCCGAGGTCGGTGGGAAACCTCTCAAAGGAATAGAAGGTTTCCTTGAGCTCGGCCGAAATAGGAAAGTTTCCTGAGGGAAAAAGGAAACTTTGGAGAGAAAAGGAAAGGAACCGAGAGAAAAGGAAATTCCTCTCGGTCCCATATCGTCTAAGGCGTGCTTGAAGACCGACTTATGAGATATATATAAAGGGAGACGAATCGACATCAGAGGACACAAGTTATTCCCAAGAAGACTTAAAGACCGAGAACTCGTTACGACAGCTTCTTAGTCGCATTAAGTCTTAGTTCGTTATTGCCTATTGAAATAACCGAACTCAGTTGTATTTCACTTGATTCAATCTAATAAAACCGAGCTTCCGATCTAAATTACTGTTTTGTCCCTTGTCGATATTCACATATCAACAGTCATTGTCCGGGTTAGGTTTAAAAACATTGGCTTAATGCTTCATTACACTATCAATCAAACTGTTTTTCAAATTTAATAAAACCAATATTTAGTAAAACCTAACAAACCCTAATAACATTCGTTATTTACAAAATGAAGAAATATAATGCTTAAGCTCTATCATATGGAACAAATTGAGCACCAAATATAACACCAAATTACTCTAGGGAACTCGGAGGTGAATATCATATGAACCTAGCTAACGCATCATATGAACCTATACACACCGGTCTCTATGAACCTATACACCTTCCGGTCTCAAATTCACTCGCCAAGGTCAAGTATCCTCACCTTATCTTTTGTTCTGTATGGCCAAGTATCCTTAATTCTGGATTGAATCGGTGATGGTTCATCACTATATTTTCGTTTTGTTTGTTCCTTATAGTATTAAATGGATTTGGTTCATGTTATTTATGAAAATATTTTATGTTATCATTTTGTTTTTGATTGTACCTCTTGGGTTACAAGTTTTGCTTTTGATCGTTGTAAAGATATTGAGACCGATTTCCAAGCTGAAACAGAAAAAAGTGTTTTTTTGTGTGATTATTATTTGATCTTTTTTAAAATTTTGTTTGTGCTTTACGATATATCCTATTTTACACTAGCTGTAGTTTTTTTTTCACTTGTTTACTTGTGCGGTAAGCTTGGTTTTACTTGAGCAACTTAGGCGTCTAGCCGAGAATCCAGCTCTAATTCTAGAGATGCAAATAAATTATTGTTTCCATAGTCGTGATTTTTCTTTTAGTACTGTCTACTAACTTCTATAAACCATTAATCTATATGTTTAGGTCATTTTATGGCCTAAAAGTTACTGATTGACTGACCATTTTGTGTGTAGAATATGGTTCAATTCATCTGACAAAAGAACTTAGTGGAGACGATAAGATATCACACGATGAGAAACAAAGATGTGATGGCCTTGATCTCAAGGACAGTTTGCTTCGCAACTCAGAAGCCGTATCAGTTCTTTAAAGTTAGATTTTTCATAGAAAAATAATAAATGAAAGCTACAAATAGAAACTCTACTCTGCTGGTGGAATGTTCACTACAAATTTATAAGTGGTCTTACCCTACTATAAGGCCAAAACATACTATGTTCATTGAGCCAACCATAATTACAATAATGGTAGTTAATCGTGAACGTCATCGTCTCTGCCATCTAACGTTCTCATTGAATCCTCTGCTATGAACACCACCTCCACTTCAAACATCTTGGTTCCTTTCTCCTTTTAACTAAGGAGTGTTCATCTGCTTTCTCTTCTTCATGTTCCTGCAGTTTTTGAAAAAAATAGAGTATTAATCAATGTTTGTTCATCTTGTATACTTCGTGTTACAGCGTATGTGTCTCTCTATCTACATGTCTCTAAAGATAAACTTTTTGTGTTTAAAAGTGGTTTAGTTTACCGACTTTTTATCTGTCCAAAATATGTACTTTAAGAGAGGAAAAATAAGGGATGACATTTATGCGGAAGATAGTGCGATCAAAGAGTATGCAATCCTCTTTGAAGAGACAACATATAATGAATTTAAGACATGAGGACGTCAGAAGATGATGAAGACGCCTCTCGAGGGATTACAATTTAATCTTTTTATCTTTTGGCTCAAATCACATATTTCATTTCTTAATATATTTGGTAGCTCATGGTTTTTTGTTTTTTAGTGTATTCTGCATGATGATGGAATCGAATGAGAAGGAAATTTCTTGGTCTAAAGCAGTCTAGTGTTGATGTTGTTACCGCTCATTGCAAACTTGATTCTTTGTTTCTAAACTTCATTAAAGCACACATAAGGAACCAATCACATCTTTCTTATAGGATTCTCTTTGAATTGTTTCATGGAGATTGTACTGAATATAATCCTTTCATTTATGGTTTTTCTTAAATTTGGATAAAATATTACATTTGATGGCTTTGATAAGGCTGTCAACCATGTAAAAAGTATATATTATATGTTAATAAATATTCCAAAAATACACAAGATAAATACTGAATATTATTTTTGCACAGATTTATAATAAAAGTAAATGTTGATGATCAATTGTGGCAAAAAAATCTAAATTTTACATAAATTTTTCAAAATTTCAGTTACATTTTATATATGCTATGGAGCTCATACTTTCTAACTATGAAAATTCAGTGTTTCTAATAATTTCTATTTATTGCATGATCCACATGATAGCAAAAAACAAAAAAACTCGACAAATCATTCACAGAGAACAAATAAATTCTTTTTGTTTTTATTATATAAAGAGAAACTGTGGATAAAATTATGGATTGAGTTTCATAAAAAAATTAATAAAAAAATATACATTGAAAAACATTGATAATATATTTAAACAAAATAATTGGCTTATGTTGCCAATATTTGTTTTGAGAAAATTTTCAATGCGATGAATCTTTGATTCTGTCAATCTCCAACTCAACGGAGATAATGAAAATATTGAAACACCAACATTAAAACACTGTCATTTTTTCTATCTCTCTTTTTTTCTATATGGTTTTTTAAAATACTTACCAACATAACCTATGAAACAACAAAGAATCACAATCGATCTGCAAGATATGTGTGTGGACTCTCAGGGTTATGATGGAGAAAATTTATAAAATTCATATCAATACGTTTGTATTTGAAAGTGTTAATGAGATGCCATATAATAGATATAGTGGAAAATTACTGGTTCACTCAAATTAGACTTTATCGATTGATTACATATATCATTTGTGAATAATTATCTTTTTTTAAAAAAAAATCATTCAGATTTCTAATATAGTATAAATAAATAAAAATGATAAAATACAATAAATATATAATAAATAAATTATTTTTAAATTCTAACATTTGATTTACTAAGCATTTGTAGTCCGCACATGGTACGGACACATGATCTTTATTGCTAGTTACAAAATATTGACATTGCAGATAATGAGACTCACCCAAAATCCCAAGATCAAATACCCAAATCACAGCAAGAACCCAATAAAACTCCCCTACGGATGTCATTGTTTAAAGTCCAAACATCATTCAAACTCCCATATCCAAGGCAAAGACCAAACAACACTGGTTCGGTTGTAAATCATAACCAATGTATACAAGTGGTTTTGAATATGATCTCTGTTATTTTTTTGTATCCAACAGAGAAAACAAGTGGGAGTATTTTACCTCTCAATATCTACTTTTCCTTCACTCTCTATCATTATCATCTCCCCTAAACCCTTCACTCTCAAGTCTCAACCAATCAGACCCTTAAATCGCAATCTATCTTTAATTTTTCTTTTCAATTTTTCTTTCTAATCTCAAAACAAAGAAGCACAAGTTGTAAAAAATATTTTTGTTGTTGTTGTTGTTATAAATAAATTTTATTTTTAATTCTAAAAAAGTATTTGCATTGTGATACAATGTTATTCGAAACACCAAAGAGATTTCTCTTGTTCTTAGAAAAGAACGATCCTCTTATTATCTGAAATCTAAAACTAGGTCTCTGTTTCCATGAGAAACGTCCAAAACCTCAACAGCCTCTTCGTCAAAAACCAAAACCACCACAACGACCACCTCTAAAATGACCACCAACGAAAAGACTACGACCACTTTTTTTTTGAATCTAATGTTAAATTATATTCAAAGAAAAAAAGACTTTTTACAACTTTAGTCCAAACATTTCAATAACTAGAGCTTTGTTTTTTAAAAAAATTCTTCAAGTATGGGTTTGTTTTGTGTCAAACCAAACTTGCATTACATCTTCATACTTCAGCACGCCACTGTTCCTGAGAGAACAGAGTTGATTTCTGATATTTTTGTCGATAATTTTGCTAAGCCGATATGATGGGGAAGGCTTTCCACCATGTTTGCGTTCATTTCTCTCCCTCCAGAGAGTGTGGACCGCAGCTTGGAATGAATATTGAAACAGATAGGTTGTTGTCTTGTCAAATGGAGGATTAAACAGTAGCGCCATAATCCTCTCCCAATCAGATACAAATCGATGCTTCAGCAAACCTTTCGCCAGCTGTTCCCAGACCTTCATCGAGTAAGAGCAAGAGAAGAAAAGGTGGTTCTTTGTCTCTATTGGTTCGTTACAGAGCACACACCCTGTATTGGCATTTATGTTCCATGTGGTGATCCTTTCTCAAGTGGCTAACCGATTTTGAAAAGCAAGCCAAGACATGAATGTGTACTTAGGAGTGGATTGTGAGAACCAAACTCCTTTGTACCAATTTACGCTGGGCTTTGCAGTTCGGATTTGATACCAAGTATCCCTAGTGACGAACTTTGCTTTGTAATTTCCATCTCTTGCTTTCCACTTTGCTACATCCTCATCGTCAGTCCCACTCTGTCTCAGTTTGTGTATCTCCAGCTCGATATCATTGAGTGTCTGTTGGCGATGTCACCTTCTTCGAACTGTTGCCAGGACCTCTCCAACCTTGGCAGGCTTTTGAATCCCCAGGTCTAGGTGTCCACGCTCCCCAACAATTTCCTCCAAGCATCCTAAGTCACTCCATGAGTCGAACCAAAACGAGGTATTGTGCCCATTGTGAACTTCTACTTTGTGAAACTGCTTCGCCATATCCCTGTACTTAGCAGCTTTTTCCACATCCAAGAGCCTCGATTAGTAGTGTCACTAACCAACCAAAAGGAACCAGTCCGAATCAGTTGCCTTTGTACCCAGTTTACCCATAGAGAGTTCTTAGCTGAGAGAATTTGCCATATCAATTTCAAGCAACACACTCTGTTGGCTTCCTCTATTGATCTTAATCCAAGACCTCCTTCTTCTTTGAGGGAACAGACATCTCTCCAAGCAACCTTTGCTTTCCTTGGATTTAAAGCAGGACCAGACCACAAAAATGCAGAGCACAGCTTATCAATTTCCTGAATACACACCTTTGGTAACCTGAAAGCAGCAATCCAGAAATTGGTAATACTAAATATCACCGATCGAAAGACTTGGAGTCTTCGATTAATCCGTAAAACGAGAAACGCTGTTATCAATCTTTTTTTCATCAGAATCCTCGCTAGAATCATCACTGCTAGAATCATAACTAGTGGTCTCCTTTTTGTGGGCAGGTTCCTCATCAGACGTACTGCTCTCTGCCTCGGCTTTTACAGAGCCAGTTTTAACAGCTGCAGCAGCAACTTTATTGTTTGTACCACTCGATGAGATCAACAAATCCATCTTTTCTTCTACCCGCTGCATAGAAGCAGCCAATCTTTGTATTACCATCCTTCAATCTCTCGCGTCTCCTTTCTTCTTTCAAAAGTAAGCGTCCGAAAGTATATCGTAGAATTTAGTTTGTCACATTCTATTATCTGCGATTATACGAATATAAGTTTTTGTATACTGGGATTCATTATCTCATCTAACCGCCACACTGCGGGAGATATTTTCAATTAAGGAAAGAGATCATCTCGCCTCCACTTCTCGTTTTTCATTAACCCGCTTTTATAAATCGTTTTTTCTGTGTTTCAAATCGTTTTCTTACATTGCAATATTTGTCTCCTCTAAATCTACTTCCTACAGTCTTCGGCTTCTTAACAGTAGGAGCTGCTTCACCATTGTTAGTGGATTTGTTGTCCATGGAAAAGATGAGAAGAGCGGCTCTAGGGTTAAAGAGAGATAGTAAAGAGAGACAGAAACCCAAGACAGCTGCTTAGGCTAATACAGGATAATTCCTTTGCTATAGAAATAATCTCAATAAATCTAGGGTTTTACTTTTTTTTTTTTTAATCGTAATCTAGGGTTTTGCTTTTATATTTTCTATTCTCTCCTATAAACAATAAAACAAAAAACGATCATGAATGGTGAGAATCAATGTTATGTCATTCTGTTTGAATCAAATTTGGATACTTATAGAAACAGCAATGACAAACTTCTTTTAACAAGATCTCAGTAATCAACATATAGAAAAACCCAACACTTTTAACTTGAGCATCTTGTAGTTATTGAACATGACTCCGAGATGTTTACAATGCTACTTCCGTGAGACCTACTAAAGAGGTGGAGAAAGGTATCAGCTTCTGCACAAAATCCCAAAACAGATCGTTATAAATATAATTACATGCAGGTTTTGTAATGTCACTTAGCAATGTCAGGTTTTGGCTCATTCTTTTCTCTTTGACTCGATCCATTTTATGGTGTCAACAAGTCCCAACTAACAGTTATCCTCCATCAAAATTTGGCTTCTCGAATAGCCCACTTAGTGAAGAGATGGATAAACGAGAGAGGGTTAGATCAAAGTTGGGAAACTCAACAACTCACACGTCTAGTTACGTGTATTCTTACACCTCACGGTAAATCAAGTACTTCTAGAGAGATGCATGATGGCATCAATACCCTAAACAAAGATCAATCTTTGAGGAAATCATAGAAATGCTTCAACATATAATGAATGAGCTAGGTAAACGTAACTTCGTAGTCATGTGGTCCGAGTAAAAACCCCTTACGAGACAAGATTCTCTCAGAACAAAATGTGAACTTGATAAATATATATATAAATATAAATATATATATATATATATATATTGTAGTATGATAACAGCAAGTTTGAGATGAGGACGTACTCAGGAAGGACAAGCAATAATTATTAAGAGAAATATGGCCTAATTATATAATTAGTTAACTACTTATGTAACTTGCAATTTACATCTTTGTAATTAGGTCATCTATTGTGTATATAAAACGAAGCTTAACATGTAATGAATAAAAACTTTTTAACACCAAAATAGGTTTTTTGACATGGTATCAGAGAAATGTTAGCCTAGTATTTCTGTCGAAGTTTCTTTCAAGCTATAGAAAGCCACATTACTAGTTCTGATCAGTTTCAACTTTCAGTGATAACTCTCACTCATTCACTCTCGTACTTTTTCTAGATTCGTAGAGGTTTGTTTTATTTTTCTTTTAGTTGACGTGTCTAATAGTGAGGACCTAGTGTTGACTGATGAGAGTGTTTTCTCCTTTTAGTCTTACACTTTGACGTTTCCTTCTACATTACAAATCCCCCCACACTTCTTTCTTTTACGAAAATGACTTTTAAAAGAGTTGCGTATTCATTTGATCTAAATCATTTCGATCTATATCAAGTCAAGAAAATAGTACATTTTTATGAGCACACATGCACATCTTGCTTCAGCTAGACCAAGACCAAGCTCGTGTTCAGGCATGTATTTGCCCAACTCAAATACTGAAATACTATAAGGACTTATTTTTACTGCTTCATCATACAAATATACAGAACATAACTGCTCGAACCATTTATCTTTAATCATCTCAAAATCAAATCAATCCTCAATTCTTGACTACCAAAACACTTGGGTTTGTGTTTATCAGTTTATGTTTTGACTTCGTACAGACATGGCTTTGGGATATATAGCAAGTAGTTTCTTTCCAATAATTCGTTCAGACATGGCTCATCATTCATCTGATGCAGTGCCTAAAACATCTTAATGCCTCAACACAATACCAATAAATAGACATGTTGCATTTTTTTGTTTGATATACCAAAAATAAAGATGAAAGGTACCATTTTTTTATTTATTAGATGATTGATATTCTTAGTATATAGAAAATAGCTTTGCACTAAACAAGATTCAGTGAAACCTAGGAACAAACATTTGGAAACAAGTCTGTGAATATCCCGAAGATGTCATGATACTACACTCGTCTAGTTTGAACATACTAATCTCATATTCGTCCTCATCAGATAAGTAAATAGAGTTTGGGAGATATCCGTTAAATTCATGAGGGGAAACGGAGAAACAAGTATCGGTAGCCATCACAAGCGCATTGTCTCCCCCAGACTGAACTTGTACCCATTTCTTCAATTCTTCATCCACCTTGTAAACCTTGAAACCAACCGTTTTGGTATAATAGTTTCTTTGTGATAACTCGCATCTTGTGATCCCAACATCATCGTGTATAACTTTGTAACTTTGAGAATAACTTTGAGGATTCACTGACCTAACTTTTATTTTATGAAAGATTATCTTCAAGGAGACGATCGACAATGTAACACTCAACTAAGGTTAAGTCTCTACAAGAGTCATTAGTGATGTTTTCATAGAGTGAAGGTCCATACCTGAAGATGTCAAAAGAGGAACTAATCCACCAAACAATCCCATTCGAATCCAAGGCGTAGGCTAGCCCTCTATGGATCATAATGTCACAGAATCGAGCCACTTGGTCTTTGATTCTAGACCAGATTACTCCGTTCCAGTACCTAAATCTTCCGGTCACAGCCGACTCCAAGAAGTCAAATTTTTCCCCTAAGTACCAATCTTTTGAACCCAAAAGCTTGTTTCTTCTTTAACCAGTTTTGAACAGCATTGGCTGGTTGAATCTGGAGAACTTTGAATTTGGAAAAATCGATATTTTCGCACCAATGACGCAAGGGGAGGCGAGAAAGAGGGTTGAGTAGAACGAAATGTACCATAAGTGAGTCCGGCTGTGTCGCATTTGATCAGCCACCCTTGGTTTGAGGAGGAGACTCGGAAAAAGGAGGTGTGAGATAGAACTTCCCTGCAGCAGCTTCTTGTGCTGTCATGCCCTTTATCTTCAATAACTCTCCATCTACTTCGGGATCTGTTATTTACACTCATCTTTTTCTTGTTTAGACTGGTGGATATAGTGACTAATGATTCCTACGGTAAGTTACACTGCATAAATAGTCTTTAAGAAAAAACATGGATACTCAGATTTTTGGAATAGCATAAAGAGATTCTTCTTCTCCTATTTATCAGGTCGGGTTTAACATGATGAAAGTGACCATAGGAAATGTTACAATCAAACAATGGGATCTTTGTGGTCAACCAAGATTTTGCAGCATGTGGGAACGTTATTGCCAGCGCTTTTTCTGTGATTGTGTAAGGATCTTAGACTCAAGTTTCTATTCTCTTTATATCCCCCACAGTTTTGTTCATGTATGTTGTTGATGCTGCAGATCCTGACAACCTAAGTGCCTCGAAAAGTGAAATCCATGATTTATTGAGCAAGACTTCGCTTAACGGTTTCCCTCTCCTGGTTCTTGGAAACAAAATTGACAAACCTGGAGCTCTGTCCAAAGAAGCCTTAACCGATTGTATAAGTTGTTTCTTTATCTGAACACTCCAAAAAGGCATCAATATTTAGCTCGAATCTGATTGTTTTTTTTTTAAAATTCCATTGTGATTTCAGGGGGCTTAACTCGCTTACAGATAGAGAAGTCTGCTGTTTCATGATATCCTGCAAGAACTCTACCAACATTGATCAGGTCATTGATTGGCTCGTAAGCATTTAAGAAATCAAAGAACTAAACGTCAGTCTTCTTGATCTTCTTAGTCCTCCTGTGTTGTCTGGTTGAAGACAATTTTTTGTGTGAAACAAGATTTGTGTCTATTTTCTTTTCGCTGCTGCTAGTCTGGTTTGTTCTGGCTAGGTCCAGTCTTTGTCTCTGTATATTAGATGTGGATTGTGTTTTGTTCTTAAGCATTTGCAATTTTGAAAACGCAAAAACACAAGTGGCTCACTTCTATAAACTTCCATAAATCTACGGCGCTCAGTAGAAAACTTTAAACTTAAACTCAAGGAAAGAGCAATAAGCTCTGTGTATGATCAAAGGCTTTATTTATTTCTCTTCAAACCAGTTTATGAATGGGTCACGAGAAACCTGTGATGCTACTAACAAAACAGATAAAACTGAAAAATGGAAAAAGGTTTTACATATTTGTCTGAATTAGGACACGTTACAAGCTGCAAACACTGCTACTAACCAATAAAAAGACTTTAGCGATTATATGACTCTTACGATGCAAGGTTAAAACTTGACATTGTGAGGCTTCACTATCTGCAAACATGAAGATATTTATATGTATTAAAAGTGATTTGCCTTCTGTTTTGTTGAGAAGAACTAATTAACTTACACAATCAAACGAGCTCTTAATCCTTACCGAGTTTGGCTACGCATCATAAACTTTAAAGCTTTCTTTGCCGCTTTTGCAAAAATGAAGGCAGCTTCAGCTTCGGCTTCTGCTTCCTCTGCAACTCTTGCCGCTTCTTCAGCTTTGGCGATTGCAAATTCTGCTTCCGCCACTGCTCTTGCAGCGGCTGCAGCATCTTCTTGTTCTGTCATGTCCGTTATGAGAGGGCGGCTTGGCAAAGGATTGTCATCAGCAACAGAAATGGAGGAGCGCCAAGATTTACAGGTGCTACGGAAATGGAGGAGTTCGAGGTCAGAATATAAACGGACGGCAATCATCAAGAGTACCTCATTCGGTAACATAGACCAATCAATCATTTTGTTCATTCTCTTTGTTTCACAATTTTTCACATAAGAAGTAAAACGCTATCATTCTTTATAGCTATGAATCGATGTGTTTGTTGATCTTGAGTCTTGACCTTTTAGAGAAACTAAATAAAACGTTGAATAGAGCAGCAATTCATAAAGTAATATATATTCAAAAAGAGATTTATGGAAGAATCTTATTATAAGGCATTTCTTTAAAATCAATGCAGAGCATTTGGCACTTAGTCAAAACTATGAAATGACATGAATTTTGTTCCATATCATAAAAGTATTTTAGATTTTATGTAAACACTCTGTCAGTCTTTCACTATCCTACTCTTGAAAAAAAAGTTATGATTTGCTATGTTGACTATTCTATTTTAACAAATATTTTAGAGGTGTTAAATTCAATGAATGTGAACAGAAGATTATAAAAGATATTATTTTTAATTAGTTGAATACAATATCTCATCCAGTTCTCTCTTTTTATTATTTTTTCCTTTTCGACCATATAAATCTTTATAGAAATGTATGTTGTGCATAAAAAAAAATCATACCTTATGTACCAAATAAAAAACAGTCGAAAAATAATCTTATTTTAAAATATCTTTAAAATTAATAATATTAATAAAAAGTCTTATCTTCAAAATATCTTCAAAACCCTAATATTTTTAGGATTCTTTGTGAATATTGTAATTTTTTACCCACTACAAAATTACCATTATTTGTTTGATTAATTTTATTTAATCTGTATGTAATACAATACTATTGTTGTTAGTTATATTTGTGATAAATTTCATTCTTAACTATGCTTCTTTTGTTTCACAATTTTAGTTATTTTTGCATATATTACATATATTACAAAAATTAGTAAAAGTTCTATATTATTTTTTATTAATATACACAATATTTTTCCTCTTTCTAATCACTATACTAAAACGACAAGGTTAAAATTAGTTTTTTTTTTATGGGGTTTTTGCTAAAAATAACTTAAAACTTAATTTTGAATACAAAAGTAGACCCCTAAAAACATATTTAGCAGATATAACCTACAGAGGTAGTGAAAAGACCATTTAATCCTGTATGAGTAAACAAAAAACGGATGTCCTAATTACCGTTTTCTCCCTGACGAAGTCTACTAAAGTAAAACTGAAGTCTACTAGTAGATTTCATTTTATCAAATGAAGTCTACTAAGTAATTAAATCTGTAAATTTAATTTAAAAATTTATAAAAATTATTTTGGTATGAAATTTACCATCATAAATTCCGTAATCGTAACCCAAATGCAAAAAAATTATTTTTTCACATTGGTAAATGGAAATGTATGTTTTTAAATTAAGTAGAAGTAAATTTATTATTTATGTTTTAAAAGTTGTAGACTTCGATATTGAAGTCTACTAAACCGTAAAAATTAACCTAACGGACATTTAACCGAGATTAAACCGGGAATAACTTCCCTTAACCAAGAGAAACTGCCCTTAACCTGGTAAAATAACCTAGACCCCGGAAAATTAGCAACTTTAACCGGAAAAAACTTACCCGAACCGTACGGAATTACCAGACTATATATACGAATTACAGATCCCGTTAAAAAAAAAAAACCGTCGAAAAGTTCGTGTAAAAAAAAAAAACTCGAAGGCGATTTCCGTTTCTCTGCTCCGGCGCCGTCGACATTAAGAACTGCCGCCGATAAACTCGTTCAGGCAAGTTTTCTTTCTCCAACCACACCCCATGCTTCCCTACTCCTCCGTATTCATCACCGTTCCGTTTTCTAAACCCCCATTTTCCAGATCTGAAATTAGGGTTTTTCTTTTTTGCAGATTTGCTTTCGCCGTTGGAGGTTAAAGTAATTTCCTGCCTCAAAACGGTTAGTAGATGTTGTTCCGAAGTTATATACTTAGCAATTCTTAAATTTCTTCTATCTTCCTGTAATTTTTGTTCCGTCGGGTTTGACTTAGGTTTTTTTACCAGATCTGGTTGTATTTTCTCGGCGCCAGCTGCATCTAATAAAGGCGGTAACACTCTAAACTTTGTAGATTGACTTCATATACAGTATTTATCATGTATTGATTGCTTCGGTTGGGTTCTGTAGACTTCATATGTAGTATTTATGATGTTTTGATTGCTTCATATACTGTTTTTTAAATGTTAAGGGTGCTTCGGTTGGCTTCAGTAGACTTCGCGACTCGGATTGTACTTAGAATGTGAAAGTAGACTTCATTTTGTGAAAGTAGACTTCATTTGTGAAAGTAGACTTCATTTAGTGAAAGTAAACTTCTTTTTGTGAAAGTATACTTCTTTTACTGAAAGTAGACTTCACATATTAGGAAAGTAGACTTCATTTTGGGAAAGTAGACTTCATTTTGGGAAAGTAGACTTCATTTTGATAAAGTAGACTTCATTTTGAAAATGTAGACTTCATTCGGGTATAGTTTCAAACCGTTACTAGTTTTTCTCATTAGAGCTTTGTTACCGTTGATGCAGGAATCTTTGTTAGATAATGGCCTCTGAATTCCCCAGAAGACTTTACACCAAAGGGTTTGAGCCAGTCCCGGATAAAAGCATCGGCTATTACGCTGATGATTATAGGCTGGTCCCTGCACTAAAGTCAGCTCTAGAGGAGGATGAATGGGAAAAGATTTACGAGTCACCGTTGGGTGTCTTTTTAAAGTTCCACGAGTTGGATTTTGGTTGGGCTTCTAGGCTGGTGCACCACATGCTGACCTTTCAGATAGTTTGCAAGCAGAGGTACGAGATATGGAGCCTCATTGGTACCACTCCAATTCGGTTTTCATTGCATGAGTTTGAGGAGATCACCGGATTCAACTGCGGGTACGTGGATGACTTGGCTTTAACTGATCTTGCGCTTGAAGATGACACGCGTGCATTTTGGGAGCTAATGGGGGTCGATGCCGAGTCGGGCCCAAGCACTACCGAAATTATCGAAGCCTGTTCCAACTGCTCATCATGGTCTCGTGATGATAGGCTGCAGTTGGGTTATCTTGGGATCTACGCTGGTTTGATAGTGGCAACGAGACCCGGCTCATCCACAAATGTCAACCATGCCAGACTAGTGATGGATCTCAAAGGTTTTAAGGAGTTTCCATGGGGAAGAATTGCTTTTCAGCATTTGATTAATTCTGTTAAGGAGAAAGATCTCAGCAAAAACATTCATATAGAAGGATTTGTGCAAGCTCTTCAAGTGTGGGTGTACTATGCTCTACCGGATTTTGCTGCTGAATTTGGCGAACCATTGCCAAATGTTACTGAAGAACCTCTTTTGCTGGCTTACAAAGGATCCAGAGGACGAAAGAACGTCAAAGCCAACATGCTAAAACAGGTACTGTATTAGTGTAGTAGACTTCTATGTAGTAATGAGTTTCCAATGTAGACTTCAGAAGTAGACTTCATGTGTAGACTTCTATATGTATAATTAATAGTGTTTGACATTCAGGGGTAGACTTCTGTGTTAGACTTCAGGAGTAGACTTCATTGTTAGACTTCAGGAGTAGACTTCATACGTAGTTTAGCGAGGCTTCATATGGCCCTAAATCCATTTAGTAATTGTGTTTTTCCAGGCTCGCATACAGTGCTGCGTGGCTAAGGACTTGGCGGATATGTTTCCCGTGTGGGATGATGACGAACAGGATCCAGATATTGTCAAGATTGTCAATGCATTCCATGACCCCAATTTCAAGTTCTCAAAAAACCATTGGCCTTTGGAAGGTGTTTTGGGTGCACACATCGTCAAGTCAGAAGCCGGAAAGAGGAGCCTTCCCTCAGATGAATCAAGTCGCAAGAGATCCCGCACAGCCTCTGCATCTGCCGCATCATTCATTGGTGATGAAGGGGTCGGAGTTGTCGCTACTATGAAAGCGCACTTCGACCAATGCTTCAAAACCTTTTCAACCAAGATGCTGAATGGTCTTGGTAGCTGTGAAAAGCAGATCAAACTTCTCACCGAGAAGGTTGAATCTGTAGAGCGTGCGGTAGAAGAGTTGACTACGGGGTCGGC